ATGCTAGTATATTTAGTGTTAATAGCAGCATTATGTTTAGTCTACTTTTATGCAAAGCCTTATATAGTAATAAAGGTTATGTATAAAGCTTTTCTAGTACAATTGCCTTTTTTTATGCTATATTATACAGCTTCTAGGCTTAGGTACCTTTAGTGCCTAGCTATAGTGTAATTTCTTTATTCTCTAGCACTTATATAAGCTCTCTTTTAAACATGTAGCTAAGTGCTAAGAAGTCTTATAGTGTCTATTCTTTAAAATCCTCTATGTATACACTTAAAAAAGTAGCGCCCTTTTAAGTTATTATATATAGATTAGTAATTATGTAACTTATGTATAATTAAGTTTATAAGCTTATTAGAGCTTTTAACATATTAATCTTATTATTCTAGTACTCTAGGCTAGTCTTATTCTGTAGTGTTACTTTTAATATCTTTATGTTCTTTATAAGTTATTTATATAATAAAAATTATTTTTTATTCTTTTTATTATTACATAGAGTTGTTAGTTGCTAATAAGATTTTATTATAATAGTATAGTTAATTACTTTTCTAGTAGATTACGCAGGTACTGCTGTTATCTAGCTGCTAGGTTGTACAGCTTTAATAGCTTTAGTGTGCGCCTTACACTATCTTCTCTTTACTTTGTACAGTAGCAAAGCTTACTATGCAATGTAAAAGATTAATTTACTATCTTAAAAAATAAGTAACTAAATAAAGTACTTTATAAAGTGTAAGTGCTTTATTATTACTTTTCTTAAAAGATAAGTAATAAAACAAAGTGCCTTATAAGGTGTAAAGTTAATTACTTATGCAGTAGATTACACAGGTACTGCTGTTATCTAGCTGCTAGGTTATGCAGCTTTAATAGCTTTAGTGTGCGCCTTACACTATTTCCTTTTTACTTTATACAGTAGCAAAGCTTGCTGTGTAATGTAAAGAATTAATGTGCTATTGTCTAGCTACTAGGTTATACAGCTTTAGTAGCTTTAGTGTGCGTCTTACACTATCTCCTTCTTACTCTATACAGTAGCAGAGCTTGCTGTATAATGTAAAGAATTAATCTACTATTTTATAAAATAAGTAACTAAATAAAGTACCTTATAAAGTGTAAGTACTCTACTATTACTTTTTCTAAGAGATAAGTAATAAAATAAAGTACCTTATAAAGTATAAGTACTTTATTATTACTTTTACTAATTTACAGTTAATTAAATTAACTACTAATTAGTGTTAAATAAGCTCTAATAGCTAGCTGCTTATAGTATAAGCACTTAAGTAGTAAAAGTAAAAGTAGTGTACAGTGTGCACAGTGTATAAGGTAGGTAAGGTAAGAGTAACATGTTTTTAGTTTTATTACTCTTGTCTTTCCTCTGTACAGAGGAAAAGGGGGATATCTAGATGTTCGCGCACAGAGGTTCGCGCACAAGCATCATGTGACATAGATACGTGATCCTGCTCGTGCGCGATCGCTTGTATCTAGGCCGCGACGCTGCTGCTGCGTACAGACACTTATAAGTTATAGGTATTACCACACTTCTAGTAGTTACTATAAATAAATTAGTATTATAACTTTTAGGCTAAAATTCCTGTTATTAGTTATCTTAAAAAAAAAATTTTTTTTTTTTTTTTACATTTATAACATATATTATTACTTAGGTAAAGCTTTACTATTTTTTATAAATAGCTGCTTGTTCTAGTGCCTTAAATACATTAATATTATTTTAGACTTTAACCTACTAGTATTCTATAGAGTATTTATTAGATTTATAGTTGCCTCTGCATTACTAGCAGAGGTTCTTATCTAGTCTGTTTAGGATTTTAGGTCCTGTTAGACCCTACTCTATATGCATTGCTTTTATAGTTAGTCTTTTATCTTTATTCTTTTAGTTAACAGAGTCTAGGCACTTTCTTTTATAGTGTTCTACTTTTCTATAGTTAAGGCACACTTGCTTTTTAAGCTATTTTTATTATTTATTAGTTAATAGTAGCTTATTACCCTTTTTAAACTTACTCTTTTTCTTAGTTAAGCCTTATGTATGTTTAGCATAACTAAGATCTATTAGTTTACTATTAAACTATTAAGTCTTCTTTTTTCTCTAAAACACCTTAGGTTTCTAAAGTGTTATGCTAGAGCGTTTTTCCTAAAGACATTTATAATGTTAGTTATTATATGTTATTACTTTTTTTATGTATTCTTTAAATTTCTTTAGTTTACTATAATACATAAATTTATCTTTAACTACATTAGATAATCTGTTATAAAACATTCTTCTAATAGCTACTTAATTAGTCTATTTACTAATAGCTAATTATTTGCAGAAGTAAGCTACATATAACTAGACTAAGCTTTTTTTTTATTAAAAAGTGTTTATTTTATTTACTGCCTTTTTTTTTTAATTAGCTTGCTTATAAATTATTATAAAAGCTTATTTAAAAGTGTTTATGTTTTAAAAGATTTTTTAAGTATAAATAAAAAAAACTTTTCTAGTTACTTTATATTTTATCTAATTATCTGTGTGTAGTTAAAACTAGATAGTAAAAAGTCCTTCTAAGTAAAGCTTTATTTATAAGATTATTTCTTTATTTATTTAAAAAGCGCCTTTATTATATTACATATATAAGTAGCATTAAGTAAAGAATAGCTTAAGGTCCTTTACTGTGCTGTTAAATAGTTTAGGTAGGGCTAGGTGTAGTAACTTCTTTAACTTAATGCTAGTTTTTTTTTTAGTAATGTTACAAAGTTCTGCAACTTTTATATAAAAGGTATAGATTTATTAAATATAAAATTGTTACATTTATTATTAAAGCTAAGCTTTAAGTGCTTTAATTTTTTAATAAAAATATTATATTTATTAGTTTTATTTCTTCTTATTTCTAGATAAGGTTTTGCTAGTGCTAGCTACACTAGCTCCTGCTATGCTAATATTAAAGAAGGTGTAAGAGGCTATACTTTTAAAGAGCAGTAATTAATGTTATAATTCTTACTCTAAGGTAATAGTAATTCTAGAGTACAACAGCCTATATATGTGTTAGTAGAAGAAGGGTAAAAACTTAGCTAGATTAGGTGTACAGTCTGTTAAGCAGAGTAAGGGAATTATTAGAGTTTAGAAGGCAGGCTATAGTTTGTCCCTATAGCTGTATAGGTAGCTAGGGCGTACTAGTTAGGTAGACAAGGGTTAGAGGTATATATAGTGTAAGATATACAAGGCAGCTTAATTTTTTTTATAAAAAAGTTAAGCTTTTTAGTTTATTATAAAGAATAAACTAAACATTAATTATAGCTTTTTAACTATAGTTAAGATTAAGACTATATACATAAATATTGCATGCATCTGCATGCGTTGCATGTGCTGCCTGCACTGCCTGCAACAGCCTGCAACGCCTGCATTGCCTGCAATGCTAGGGTCCTTATTAGACAATGCATTCTGCTAAGCATCTGTCTGTAAGGTAGCGCTATTCTTTGTCTGTCCTGTCATATAGTCCGCTAATCGCGGGGTTAACCGTGTTCCATCCGATATGGCCCGGACTGTGTAGAACAGCGAGCTGAGTCATTACGGTCCGTCCGTTGGCCGTAACATTATATTAGAGAAAGCAATAGTCTAGTAGCATCTGCAGTAGTCTTTGCAAAAAAAAAAATAGCAAGATAAAAGTATGTTAAAATTACTAAACCCTAAATAATAATACTGTAAAAGACTAGTATTTTTTACTAATTATTTAGAACATTATAAACTAATTAAAAAGAACTAAGCACTTTACTAAATTTAACATCTAGGATAGATTTAATAAGATAAAAATTAAGTAAAAACATAAATAAATAACAGCCTTTAGAACACTAAAAAGACTTTATAAGCTTTTTATTATGCCTTTTAGACTAATAAACATGCTTATAACTTTTTAAAGAGTTATTAACACAGCTCTAAACCCCTATCTAGATATATTTATATTAGTATACCTTAATAACATACTAATATATACTAAGAAAACCTGTAATAACTACATATTTAAAGTAAAACTTATACTTAAACGCCTTAGATAATACAGCCTATATCTTTAACTAGAAAAATATAAATTTAACATGTAAAAAACTAAATACCTAGGATTTATAATAAATTAAGAAGAAATAAAAATAGATTTTAAAAAGGTAGCTAAGGTACTTAAATAGCTAACACTAGAATCTATTACTAAAATTAAAGAATTTCTTAGACTAATAGGTTACATACAACAAATAATTAAAGACTACTTAAAAATAGCAAGAATTAGTCGTGCGACTCCTCTTTTTATACACAGGATAATAAGCTAAAGGGGATAAGCTAGTTAACAGTTATTGCTAGAATGGGTATAGCAATTGTGATAACCTTGTCAGCCTCTATTTATAAGTAAAAGGAATTTCTGTAGGGACTTGCGTTATTAGGATAGCAGTTATGGATTTAAACGTCATTTCTAGGCTAGTAGGGGTTAGTATGCAGATGTCAATTTGCTATTTCCTTTTTAGATATGCCCAATGGCGATTGAGGTAGTGGAAGATGCCATAGATATATTTCGTTGGCGCTGTGTATTAGTTACATAGCTAAACCTAGGAGCTTAGCAAGTTCTCAGCAGGTTGGGCTTAAATTCTAATAGAGGGTAGTTGGCAACAGTGCCAAGCACATAGAGAACGTCGTTATTCGTCTGATATAATCTTTCGTGGCGTATTGAAAAATTTGATAAGACTCTATTTCAGTGAAAGGGGTCGACGATACCGTAAGTATCGTGAAATCATTGATTTATACTAGGAGTTAACTTTGGATAAGGTCTTCGAACACTATATTGCGAATAGTTATCATAATATCACGTATCGTGCTATTGAGAGTTGACGAGAACTTGTTCTGATATATTTTAGTGTAAATTGACATCATTTAGGTACTTGATAGTATGATTTGGTGCTTTATGTACCAAATTGTACTGAAGCTACTACCTTCAACGCCCTGCTTTAAACTGTTTGGCGCCTTCTACGGCACTCACCTAACTGACACGGTCTTTGACAAACAGCTCAGCCCTCGGCTTCAGTTTCGTCTTGTGCAGATGGAAATCGTCCACGGTGCCAATGCGCAGGATACTCTTTCCCGGAGACCCGACACGATACATGAGCGTGCCACATGTGGAGCAGAAATAGTTGGTCATCAGCTTGCCTGAGGCAATGGTGCGCGATTGGCTGTAAGCTGTCAGGTTGTCGCGGCCGCGGAGGTGGGTGAGATGTGTGTCGGCGATGGTGAAGTTCGAGGCGAACATAGACGCTGTGATCTTTCGGCAGTCGGTGCAGTGGCAGACAAAGGTGCTGACCAGGCCGGGGCCTTCGGTGGGGAAAGCTAGCTGTACGGCGCCGCAGAAGCAGGTTGCCGTTGCGGAGTCTTCTTTCGACCATCCATCGTCGGCACCGCTAGCTAGAGGAAAGTAGGGCTTGGATTTATCGGCAGTGGCGGTCATGGTAGCTTACTTTTGTATTGTGGTGCAGTGTGGTTATGGTATCTGGTGTTGATGATGTGAGAAGTTTACTACTGTTTTAATGATTCTATTCTGCGCCAGAACCGATGTTTAATAACCGGGGCCGGCCAGTATCGGCGGTTTGCCCTACAAGACTAGGGCTTGATACCGCGTCGAGGAGTACCGAATTGATCCGAATATAGCCGTTTGCTTACATATAGATATAGATATAGATATAGACAAGTAAGGAAAATGCCCTTGCAGTCATATCAAACCGGGTCTTCATCCCTAACTGGCTCTTCATTTCAAACAAGCCTTCTCGTCCTAACTTGGCACCCACACCTTTCTCGCAACAAAGCGGTGCAGTTAGAGTCGCTCACTTCATCGGCTTCTAGACCCTGAACGTCGCGAAATTGGTACCCCCCGACTACTCCGGCCCTGCTCTGCAGGCGCCTGGCTTAATTAACCTTAGCCACAGACAGTCTATCTCGAGTCGATATGATTCCCGAAACCGCTGGATCCAGTAGTTAGAAGTATTACGGTACGTATTCAAGATATAACAACCTCGCCTAATGAACTAGAAGCTAGTGCAATCTTGCCATGCCACTTCAGCCACATGGTGTTATGGTAACTAGCTGCATTGCAAATCCTTAGAAGTCTACAGTTACCAAAAAACCTTGTTAAGGACCTTACGCAATACTGATTTTCGCTCCCTCTTACCATTACTACCTCTAACCTTAACCATCTCTGGTTCCTCTATAAGCTCTAAGGTATCCTCTCTACTCTTGCTCAGAGCGCTTAAGGCATCTATTTTGGCTCTAACACGCTGATATTGCTCGCTGGAGTGACCAGAAAGATTCTGAAGGCTAAGGAGGGCTCGCGAGTATATAGTTTGGGCCTTACTATACTCTCCTTGCTCTGCGTAAAGATCGCCCATATTCTCAATGGTGTTGAGCGCTGGGCGATACGTTTGAACTATTTTATTGCCAAGTGCTTCTTCGTATCCTTGCAGCGCCCGCTCGTACATATGCTCCGCCTCGGCCGGCTTGCCTTGGTCTGCGTAGAGAAGACCCAGGTCGTTGACCGTGGTCAGTGTTGACATGTGCTTAGGACCGAGTGCCTCCTCCCTCCCTCGCAGCGCCCGCTCGTACATGCGCTCCGCCTCGGCTAGCTTGCCTTGGTCCGCGTAGAGAACGGCAAGGTTGTTGAATGTGGCCAGTATCGATGCGTGGCTGGGACCGAATGCCTCCTTGTGCCCTCGCAGCGCCCGCTCGTACATGCGCTCCGCCTCGGCCAGCTTGCCTTGGATCCTGTAGAGGATGCCCAGGTTGTTGACCGTGTCTAGTGTCGACGTGTGCTTGGGACCGAGTGCTTCCTCCTTCCCTAACAGGGCCCGCTCGTACATGTGCTCCGCCTCGGCCAGCTTGCCTTGGTTCTTGTAGAGACTGCCCAAGTCGTTGACCGTGGTCAGTGTCGTCGTGTGCTTGGGACCGAGTGCTTCCTCCTTCCCTCACAGGGCCCGCTCGTACATGTGCTCCGCCTCGGCTAGCTTGCCTTGGTCCGCGTAGAGGATGCCTAGGAGGTGTATAGCATTTAGTATTGTCTGTTTTTCTTCGCTGCCGTCCACGTCTTTATTAAAACTCGTCTTAATTTCCAATCCCGGCCCTATCTGCCATTTTGCCACCCGCCAAAAGCACGCTTGGGCATGAGGAAGAAGTCGACGTCGGATGGCCGAGTAGTCGTGAGTTGACTGTTCCGGTACAGCGAATCCAACTACCATCACCGCTAGCCAACCTAGCTCCAACGCAAACCGTTCACCCTGGGAATGGTGCGCCCATCGGTGAACGACTGGATGCGTCGCATGGCTGGTCGTTTCTTCCACCTCTTCGATCAGCGAGTAGTTTCGCAGCAGCTGCATCGCTCTGCTAAACTCGAGCTCGCTGCTTGCAATATCTCCAACCCACTCCCACAGCATCATCGCAACCACCACAGAGGCCTGGCATGCTGCTGCAAACAAGCCGTACCACAGGTTCTTGTTTTCAAGGAACGACCATAGGAGTAGAAGGTTCGCCGTAGCCTTGTGCTTGTCACGTATCGCTTGGTAAGAGATGGCCTATGTTGTCCACACGCTGCGATCCGGGTAGTCTTGAAGTGGTGTGTCGCCCGTGAGTTTTAGCTCCATCAGCTCGTCCATTGCTGCTCATAGAACGCGAGATAAGTCGCTAGCCCCATCCTGCTCTCCTGAAGATACGCACCCGCCTGTGCAATCGCTAGGGGTAGGCCGTCTAGTAGCTCGAGCAAGCGCTCGCTATTCGTCGAGTCTGTAGCTAGACCATCAGCTTCAATGGTTTGCATCAATCTGTCTACCGTCTTGAGCTTACCGTACTTCCTCCTGTACCAGCTCTTAAAGATAATCCGGGCTTGGTCTTTGGTCACCTTGCCCAGCTGCTGCGGGTTCCATAGCTGCTCTAGCTTCGCCAATCGCGTTGTGACTAGAATAGAGCCGTGGTCCGCCCCTGAGAAGTAGCCCCTGACGTCGTATGCATCAGGGTCTTCACCCCACGGATTGTATTCACGGTCGACGTTGTCGAAGATGAGCAGCCAGGCGGTGTTGTCTGACTGGGCAAGCCAACCCACGACGTCCCTTACTACTGTAGTAACATTGGCACTGCCATCTGCGGCATATGTCCTACTCATCTCAGAAATCTGCCCTTGAGGAATCCTTGTTGCGCAGCTAGCAATGCTTCGTTTAAGGCTGTCCTCGCTTCTCCCGTCTAGCCAAAACACTGAGCTGAACTGGTGCTGATGCCGCCGCGCGAACTCGATGGCTAGCTGCGTCTTGCCTATGCCCCCAAGGCCATGGAGGACCTGTATTTTCTGTCGGTGGCTTTGTCCAAGTCTAGGCAGAAGGACCCGTTCGAGCTCTGCCATCTCCGCCGGCCGGTCCACAAACTGGCTCACTCTTGGGACACCCTCAAGGCTAAAGCCAGTTCGATATTCCCCAAAATCTACAAATAACTCAGTTCTATGCAAAGCAGGCTAGGAATTAAGAACAACATCTGAGAACGAACATGATCTTCCTGCAATGTTGCCTGCACACGACTGCATGTGCTTGTACACTTCCTGAGACCCAATATACCTTCGTGTGGCCGCTGCGATCTCCTTGACCTTCTTTGACTCTTCTAGTCCAATGTCCTCCAGCCCGCGGAGCACGTTGAACCGGTAATACCGACCAGTACTATCAAGCCGCGACCTCTCGCGCCGGAACCTCTCTGCTGTCTGCTCTGTCTCCGTCGCAATTGCAACTAGGGTCTCTCCGATATGGAAGACATCGTCCCGAAAGGGCTTAAGGGAAGGCACACCGGTCCCGATTGAGACTAGACATTTGACTCTACCATCTAGCAGTTCTGGTCCCCATACCAGCTGCGCTTGGTCCCACACCTCCCGTACTGGGTTGTTCGCTCCCGTCGCGCCGTCCACAAACTCCTCCCCGAACCGCCCGACCGCAATCGGGTCAAAGAAGGACGACGCCGCCGAGGTGGCCCGGCAGGCCTCCCATATCTTCGCGCTGTTTACGAGGTCATTGTTCCCGCGCGGCGACTTGTAGCTCGTGAGACAAACCGTCTCGCTAGTCTCTTTGCTCGTCACGCACACAAATCTACAGCAGTCAGCTTACGTCATGTGGGATGTCCCAGCATCAACTTACACTTTGCAGCTTGCTTCGGGGGCATCTTTGAGTAGCGCATCCTCCTGTAGGCCCTGCCCTTTAATGGCCTCCTTCACAGCTTGCGCCAGCTCTTCCGAGTTGAACCGTCCCTGGACCTTGCCCTTGGCCGTTACCCGGTGTCTTGTCTTGCGGAATACCCGGTCCGAAAGCGATAGGTACGCGGCGATGCAATCGGCAATGCTCATCCTCAGTCGGCCGAGCATAATGGCGATGAGCCTGGTTGGTCAACACACATGTCTCCAGCTTGTGCATACAGCAACTCACCCCCCGGTGCTCGTTCCGCCGATCATATCGAAGTAGTCACAAGGCTTCGACGGCGCGTCTGGGTTCACTGCCTTCATGAGCTGCTCGAGGATCATCAGTGCGGACAGGCCACGGACGCCGCCGCCGTCGAGCGCGAGCAGGCGGAGCTCGGTGTTGGGCATGGCATGTGGGTAGTAGAAAGCGGGATTTGACTAGAGAGATAGCATACAGGACAGCGTCGGAAGCAGGAAGAGAAGGGATTGCGTTCACTCCACTACATCGTAGCTACCTCAGGAGGGAACGGCTGAAGCAGCCTTGACGTCGCGGCGCTTGCGGCTGGGCTGGCCAGCTTTTTACCAGCCTTTCGTGTTCTGTAGGTCGTCTGTGTGGTGAGGGCGCAAGGCTGACTGTTGTCAGCAGAAGCGTGGGTAGGACCTCTTGTCTCTGGTTCGTCTCCCGCCTCCGCTCTCTAATGAGGTCGAGATAGAGTTTCTTGAGCTGATGCACTTTCGTGTGCCGCGTCTGGCGTGCCTCGGTTCCATGCATGGTTTGCCGATCATTACAAAACCGACAGCTCGACAGCACACGATGGTTTCATCGAGTCCGGCCTGTCGTGCATCGTTGGAATCGGAGCCATTTCCTCATAGCGATGGACGTGTTTCTTACATTTCAATGTCCGCCCGTCGTACATCGCGAATGCAGGCCTCATTTCACACCAATCTCTCCTGTACTCCTCGGTTAATGTGTAGCGTTCTAGAGGCGGCTTGTTTCAAGTAGACAATCCGCGCAGTTCTCTCCACCACTGTTTCCTACCAGTGTAGTAGGCTTCGATGCAATAAAACCATAAACTCTACTCATGCTTGAATAATCTTGAATCCGTAAGGACAACTTATTGTACAGCATTAACCTTCCCGGTCAGAAAACTGCGTAGACATGCAGCGTTTCGGTGTGATCACCCTTAAGACGACGAGTCCTTTCTTCCCCCGAAGCAGTCCCCTCCTTCGATCCTCCGCAGCGTTGCGATGCATCCAGCGATACGCAGCCAGTACCACTACGCAGCATAGATGCATCACAGACGACCCCTGCCTCTTATAACCCTATGACTAGCCGGACAAGGTAGAACCGTGAAAGGACAGCTTCGCTAGCCGCGAACCAGCACAGCGAGGCGCAGACAGGCTCAGGTTCGTTCAGCTCACCAAGTGTGGTGATGCCACAACCTAGATAATCTTTTATTACATTAAATAAAGAAGTGTCTCTTCAATCTTGATTTATTAAAATAGCTAGGAGAAGGATACATCAAGCCGCCTTCGCTCCTCGATCGAATAGAAGATGGCTGTCAATGACAAAGTCAACTCTGAAGTCACAGAGCAGGACCTTTTCCTTGTCCTTTCTGTGCACTAACACATGTACCTTAAGCGCAAGGCAGAAAGCTCGTGACCAAAAGTCGCCACACAATAGGTATATACAATATAATAACACTGCCGTCGTTGTATCCACAACCTACGGCTCGTAGCATGATCTGACCAAGTAATTCGATGATATTGATATTGGCTATTCCGTAGTAGAGAGTTAGCTGATTCGGTAGGGTGAACTGCCCCGTTGTAGCAAAAAGCTCTATTTCAACTATAGAGTCGCCCCATCCATCAACGAGCCAGCAGACGGTGGGAACAAACAAAGCTCTTCAGCGACGCAGAGAATGCTCGCCGGTCGTGCTTCACAGCTCAACGAAGAGTAGAAGACTAGTGGAAATGCATCCATCTGGCGGGAAATATACGCTTTAATGAGACGCCCGGATCTGCCACGCAACCTTGATCTTGATTGCTGGCGCGATCCTTTTGGCAAGAAGCAATATAAGCTGCGGACTCACTACCTTAATACCATGATTGACTTCGTCCAGCAGGCGCCTGCGAAGCGCTGCAGGGTAGGCGCGGGGTAACAGTGTCACAGCGTGCAAATCTAGAATCGGTTGTGTATTGTGCTTTGCAAAAAGCTGGTTACAGTCAAATTTTTCCGGAGAACGGCCGTGAGAAGGTACAACAATGCTAAAACAAGAGATATACTTATGCAACTCAGCAATCCTCTGCAGCAAGCTGCACTGTTTCTTTCTTTCATCTTTGTTTTTAGTAACATCTTCTTAAGATTAAATTATAGTTTACTTTCTAGTTTTGCAGATTGTTGTTCGTTTTCTTTTTACCTGTGCGCGTGCCAATGGCTTGGCAGTGAAAGCCGTGCGCAGAACTCCTAGCTATTGGTTGTAATTCTGACTGTAACTAGCCTTTTGCAAGGCACAATAAGCTACTTGCGACACTTGCCTCCCTCGAACGCAGTTGCGGCAGAACTCTGCAAAACATCACTATTGTGGGCATGTGATTTGTTGCGATGCAGGAGGTTACTTCTCTATCGCAGTCTGAGTTCACAACACTATGGTTGGAGTGGGTCCAGGATGCAAGCCAGCCATCCACCTTGCAAGTGATGGCAACATGAAGTTCCAATGACCTGAGTTCCTTTTTTTCTTCTTTTTCTTCCTTCGTTTCTTTTTGATTCGTCCGTGCTTAAATACATAGCCCAATAAGCCTCTCCACGGGAAGCTGAGACCCTTGGTCACCTTTGTAAAGTTGGAGCAAGAAGCTCTTGAAACGTCCAGCCTCAAGTGAACCAGTTGCTTCTTCAAAAGGCCGACTCCTAAGTGCCAGTTAAGCCCCCATTCTTTCCTCTTGTCGACACATCAGAGATACTCATAGCATTTCACCGCACTTTGGTACCAGCGAAACATAGAACTGAAGCCTTCTAGTGTTTAGCGTGGTTTGACTTAATGCAATAGGCGTTGATCTAAAAGTACTGCAAACTGTTCAGCCCAGCTTGTTCTCCACAGAACTGAATCTTTATGTACCCAAGCCTATTCTTACTGGTTTCATTCGCCATGTCCTCTAGAGTCACCTTATCAGTCTCTATCCATCTATGCGTAAGTATAGCGTAGGGTGGGATTGGATCGTTGCCAACCAAATCATTAGTGGGCTGAATCTGCCATCATCGTCAAGTTTGAAAAGATGCACCGCTGAGCGCAGAGGCAAACGTTAGCAAACGGTGGGAATCAGCATTAGTAGGGCTTGGAAGCAGTTATGGCGGGCCGGGTTAATGAGAATACCGAGTCGACCTAGTGAGGTTAGCTAGTGAAGAAGCAAAGCAAGGGAAGTACAGTAAAGATTCAACGCGCCGAAAAAGTGTGGTCAGTTGTTGAGATCAAAAGAGTTGTAAAACTCTGGGTTTGACGGATTCTCCGCAGCCCAAGGGATTTGGCTGCACAGCCCGAACGTTGGCTCTGTGACCGAAGGCATTTTTTGGAGGCATACCGTTGACCGTGCCTTTCTTCAGGCTCCTGTGCTCTGGCTTCAAGGCCCCTCTAGCAAACCAGGGCTGGCACCAGTTGTGTTTCCTGTAAGAAGAGAAGCCACGGTCATAGGTTCACTAGCCATATGCTTAGGTTAGCCCGCTTCCATGTATCAAATTACACTGTTATCATTCAGTAGGAAGTCCGTGTGGCACTTAGGAATGACTAGGATCACATCGCTTTAATTGGAAGGCACTAATCAGCATAGCGATGTTGCATTAATCAACCTCATGCGGCAGCCTGAGGTTAATAGCGGCTTCTTAGCATTAATGGGGACGTTTAGAGGGTGAAGAACTGCCCTTTTTGCATATTGGGAGTGACGAGAGCGCGATGTTGGGGCTGTGGTGGAAGCACCCTACATTTCCACGAAGAGGAGGCCCTCCATAAACCAGGCGACGAGATGGCAACTGCAGCGTAATTTTCGGCTGGGACAAGTCCCGAGGGTCGAGGAATGGCACAATCACACGTCTCACACAAAATCAAGTCGAGTGCGATATGAATGCGAAGTCGACATTGCCCTAAAGATAAAGTACCCGTAAATCGTGCATGGGTATGCAACTAGCTCTTCGACCGTGTGGCCTCCTTGTTGGATGACCTACACCTACCTCAGGAGAACACCATCCCCACTCCCCTTAGTTTCAAGCCTTAGAATATCATATTCGCTCCTTAGCTTTCTCGCACCCTCTCCTATTCTCGTTCAAATTGATTTCTCACTTCCATCTTATTCTGTTATCGTCTAAGTTTATCATGCTTGGCTAAGCTTCGATGAACCCACTTGTACATCTTGTAGGCGAAGAATTCTCTATTGAAATTAAATTGAAAGGTGAGTTTTGACGAGTCGTCCGTCTACTTGCTAATTAAAGAAGCTGAATCGAGAAGTATAAGGACACCGAATCGATTCCCGCTCGCTGGAGTACTTTCCGGGTTTTAGAGTTCTCTAGGAATGTTTTCTTCTCGTATAGGGTTTTGCTACAACCTCCATACTCTTAGGCGAAGCATGTTGGATAACGAGTCACGTGTGCCAAGATGCGCTCGGCCCTCGGATCAGCCCCTACTCTAGCGCCATTTTCTCTCCAATTTTCCACGTCGAAACGCTCACCCATCCACCAAAATTCCTGCTCTGCAAACCCCCTTCAAGCGAACCGTACATCAAGCGATTTGATATAACTTATGGCTGGGCGGTCTATCCCACGAATATTTGTTACACTAAGGAAGTCTTCCGTTCTCTGAGTGTGTGGAATTTGCATTTGTAGTTTCACAGAAGCTGGCCCTATCGAAGACTTGTTGATCAGACTCCTCCAAGATCAGCGAGTTCAATTTGTGCGCCTAGAACAAACCCCAAGATGACCTGCCAAGGTCCGTCCCACTCGTGTTGCAGTTTCTGAGCGTTTGCGCTGAGGATTTTGCGTCAAAAAGTGGGAGACATCAATAGAATGACACCACCGGAATTTAGACTATTTGTTCATGCATGGCTAAGTAATATTTGTTCGTTTACGTCGTGAATACCCTACCTCATAGCATTCCCATGCAATGAGAGGGTTGATGGGAGGGATTTCCCCCCCGTGTCGTGTAAAGTGCTAAGCTACAATTCCTTCTTGCCCTCCTTCACTGGCTCAGCTTTGTGCGTCATAGGCTCTCCCATCGCGGGGGGCGCCCGAGTAACTAGCATATACGTCGCCGTCATAGCCTCGGCGAGAAGCTCGATAATGCTCGCACATGCAAGGCCCCAGACGTTGATGCTGACGCTTCCAACGGGCGCGCGGGGAAAACTCAATATCCATTCCACATACCCTGGCACCCATCTCTCGGGAATCCAAAACATTGGCGTCTTCGAATGCCAGAATTGCAGGGCAAAGCGGAGGCCGGTGGTTGAGAGCCAACGAAGCGTGGAGATTGAGCTGAAGAAGGTGGTTTGGTGGGCGCGGAGGGAGCCATCTGGACGCAACCATGTCAGTTATTGCAAATTGCAAGGTTCTAGGGTAGTGGTGCTGGGCGGTGTTTGAAATGATAAAGTGAGTGCACACCTATTTTCTCGAACTCGGATAGAGCTTTGTCGTGCTCTCGTCGCAGCTTCGCCCATCTCGCGAAGTCATCTTGTGCGGAGACGGCGTTGAGTTCGCGTTTTAGGCGCACGATTTCTCGTTTCAGAGTGCTGGCTTTAGCAGTGGAGGAGGAGGTTCGCGTGGGGAATTTGGTATAGAGGATCCATAGCTATTCCTTTATCAGCATATGGTCACATGGCCTAGTGGGCTGTGCAGAGAAATTTGAAGTTGTGACTGTGGGCTACGATGGAAATGGAGATGGGGAAGCGTACCACTTGGTTGATCGTATTGGCACCCACAGTGTTGATGATGTGGAGAAGGAGTTGTACTACAAATACAACCAGGAGAAGGGATGGCATAGTAGTGGTTGTGAGAGTTGGTCAGCCCATGGTGGGAAGTTGGAATCGTGTTATGTCATGATGAATTTGGCCCGGCCCGCTGTCATCAGTGGTCCGTGCACATGCTTACTCTACTCGGGCTTTAGTGATGTTCAGGCATCATCTCAGCATCAACTCAACATCCACCTCAGCTGTTCTCTGAAATATCACTCTGGCCGCTCCTCGATGGGCATTCTTCTTGAATTGAAGAAGCCATGTCGAAACTAGATGATCCATTGTCCACAAAACTCCAAGATGCAGCCTACGACACCTTAAACGAATACTTTATCGAGCATCAAGATGAAGTGATTAACATTACGGTCCTTCCACCGGGAATGCCGTTCGACTCAGATGTCCTGATCATGCAAGATGGTCCGACTATGGGTGTCCCCAAATCCACCCTAGTCTTAGCCTTCCTCCGTGCGAGGCGAATATTTCTCGAAGCGGAGAAAGTCCTTAGACTAGAGGCGTCGCGGGTGATTCTTCTCTTCGACCCTGAGTACATCACAGCCACAAACCTCCGTAAAAGGAGGATCCTTGGCTTGGTGGCTAAGAAGTGCGAGAGTGGGTGGGACGAGTACAAAAAGACACTGGGCCGGGAGACCATATTTCTCAACAGCATCCTGACCTCGCCACTACACCGCCAATCAAAATCTCCTACGCTCTGGCACCATCGCGCATGGCTCCTGGAATTCATTTCCTTAACAAAACTGGCCGAGCCTTCTCCAGATTCATTCCTTCTCTTCGCCAGAGCTGAGCTCGATGCTGTTCTTAAGGCAGGGGAGCAACACCCCAAGAACTATTACGCCTGGCAATACGCTCGGACATTGTTCGAAAAACTCGATATCATGTTCCTGGACGAGACCGAGCACTTCTGGAAATCTGCATATCATGCATTTCTTACTACTTGCGCTTTACTCGTTAAAGCATGGTGCTGTAAGCATGTCAGCGATGTCTCGGGGCTGTCGTTTTTGTTTTTTCTCCTCCCAAGGTTGAAATCAGTTTCGCGGCGACGACGTATTGTTAGGGACGTCTTAGATTACACGGAGAAGTTACGACTGGACCAAGAATCATTATGGACGTTCCTCCGCACTACACTCGCAAGTGCGGTTTTGGAAGGGGAGCGAGACGCACTGACCCAGCAGTTACGCAACTACCAGTTGGAGAGGATTCTCGGAGAACAGGGTAAAGACGAAGAAAATAGAGTCACCGCGGCCGTGAAATGGATTGATATGTACAGTATTTCATTACTTAATTCCCCATCCGTTGAAACAGGAAGTACAGAGAAACCAATAGGGCCTTCGTCAATCATGAGCACAGAATCGAAGAAATAGCTGGTCACATCTTCCTCTCGTCCTGTCTACAAACTAAGGCACACAGCCTTTTTACCAAGGTCAATGGCCATCCCAGAAGAAATTTTGAAAATAAAACGGACAATGGCCAGTCCCTTCCCTTCGTCCTTCGCGTCTCGTGGATCTTTAGATATACTTCGTCTCCTACCAGGAATACTGGACCCCGAGCCTAAAAAAGGAGACTGAGGGTTAGGAGAGCGTGCGGAATTTTCCGATGAAGCGATGGACCTCGGCCTCTGCGACTGCCCTGCATATGTGATCGGGGGCGTCGTTTCTATGGGTGGGGGGAGCGGTCTTTGGGTGGTTGGTTGGGCTGGTGCCTGGACCTGACTCCCCACCTCATATGTTGTCAGGAACTTTCCCTTTGCCAGCAAGCGCGTCATTGAATCTTGCTCGAATTGATAGTCTAGATTGTATGGAGTATCAGGATTTCCGTATGCCCGTAGGTGAGACCACTCGATCGAATATACGTCGCGGAGGTTCACGTAACTGTCCCAGCGCAATACAGCGCCCCCGGCCAATTCCAGGTTTGGAAACCTCTTTTTCGCCTTCTTCGAGTTTGCGTCTGGATGGGGGGGCGTTGGTGTGATAGGGAGGTACCAAGAGCGGCGACTCGCATGGAACTCGTTGGCTTTGCCATAAATTTCATGGAGCTTCTTGCCTTGGAAGGATGTTATCTGACTACAGTAAGTACTCTGCTATATCTTATTCTGCTGACCTTACTAACGACGTGAAAGTGCACTATGCTCGCTTCATGTGCCGGTCTTGAAAGAATTACCACCGGATGGTTGTAGATTCCTTCCTCCACCGCACCTTTCCCATGAGCCCGTCTAACAGCCCTAGGAGGCAGTTCGTCTTTCGGCGGCAACCAGAGTATTCGGCCTTGCACAATCTCCCCTTCTCCAACTGCTCTTTCCTCTCTCTGGCATGAAGATCTTCTAGCCTGAGTGGTTCTAGTTGGTGATGTGTTGGGCAGGTACGGATTCCTGTTATTCTCAAAGTATGCCATCGTGCCTCGAGCAAATGATTCAATGGCTCCTCAATTTCAAATTTTGCCCCCTCAACCTTCAACCCTCCCGACTTATACTTGCCTCAACTGACTGTGCCGTGTTGTTCGCGCATTGTCGCGCACAACAACAACCTGAGCCCCTGGCATGCATCACTCTCACATGGGATCGCGACCCCACTCCAGACTTGCCAAATAACGGTCTATGACGCCTTGCCAAACCAAGATGCCACAGCCTATCCTCAGCTACGATGACAGCGGAGTCACCGAGTCGCGATTCGTTTAGCCAATCATATGCACCGCCACAGTGCATTTAGTGTGGCGAAAGCAGTGGCTCAGCCGCACGACGGACCGCAAACTTAATGCATTATCCAATCCTCCCCACGAAAAAAGGAAACTGGCGGTTCACTACAGCCCCATGGACCCAATGGCCTGGGGCTGAAAGGGTTTAAGGAGATGACCCTGCAACTGCTTTCGTAACCCTCTGAGCAGGGACAGGCGGAGATTGCGTAGTTGTGGCTGGTATAACCACACTGTGGCTACGACTTCGTACGCATACGAATCGAATCGCAACATTGGCATCGTTCGGATACGTCCACCTGTGGCTGTATTTTCGGCTCTTGATACTATTGGTTACGTATACCGCTTGTCACTCCCATGCGTGCGACGTAGCAATCCGCTCGCTTCCCACGGACACACCCTAAGTCCTCGATACGCGACCACCGACCGATCGAGGCTTCACGATGCGATGCACGATGGGGTCCGAAATACTACGCAAAAGGAGCGGAGTCGTGTGATGCAAACGTCATTCAATCATTAGTTGTCTATGTACCTGCAGTTCAATGATTCGTGCGCCGCATCTGTGGCGAGTGCAGACTTCCTTCACCGCTGGCCCCGTGCCAGCGCTTCGGTCCGGTCCCATAACCCTCAGGCGTCTATGGAGACCGCCGATCTACTTTCCTCCTTTCTGTCAACCTCTTTCCCAGATTGTGTGCGCTGGAACTGTGCCCCTCCCGACGCAGCGGAATCCCTCTCCTTCATTATCAAAACAGTCTTCCATGCATTTGGTCCCTGATCCCATGTGATCCGTCTATTCGCCAAAAATATCATAACGCTGCTCGTAATGCCCATTTCAATATCCGGTGTGACTCCTACCTCTTCTCAACCAGTTGAGACATTCCTGTTCCACGACCTGAGGAAATTATCTCCACCGCCTTAAACATCGCCAACCTCACCGCCTAATCACCTCCTTCCATTACCGCCAGAACCCACTCAACCTTTCGCCCATTCCTGAGGCCATGACACTAAGCCTCCGGCTTCCACTTCTCTCCCTCGCCGCTCCAGGCTTACCGGTCTCGATCCTTTCCTCAACACCCCTCAGCTCAACTTTATAATGCTGGACCTTGGCCCCAATGCCTTCAAGCTGCCGTACTGGATTCGCAACATGCCGGTCCCAGAGATCGGGACTCACGCTTTGCTGGTTATACCCATAGCTCTTTTGCAGTGGATGCTTAAAGCGTTCTGCATCCACGCGATTACTCCATTCAAACACCATCACTAGCGTCTCATCCTCGGCATTCGCTTTCTCGGAGTCCGAGTCTCTAGGTAGGAACATCGCCATATTCTTCTCATCGGAATTCGTGCTCTTTAACACGCCTTCATATTCGCTATTATATGAACTCGATGGCGACACAGGCTCGCCGGGAAGTTCTGTCCACGCCCAGAAATCCCGCACGAGGTCTCCGGGCCGACTGAAGCCGGCGGGGGCCGATACAGCAAGCATAGCGGAAAGAGAAGAACGCTTAGGATCCCAGCCAAAGCGCTTGCCGATGGCGCCTGCGACTGTAGCGTTTGGCGCGTTGACGACGATGATATCGAATGCAATTTTCTCATCTGGAGACGAGGAGGCAAGGGCGATGGCGGAGTAGTCAAGGAGGATGTGCTGGACGGTTGGGGGGTTACTTAGGTGGCGTAATACCGGTGAGAAGAGGGGTGATGTGCTGTTTTGACATGTTTCGCTAAGCGTGGTGACGATGATGGCAGTTTTGGGGTCCTCAAGACAGGGCGACCAGCTTGTGAAGCGTGATGGGTGCGACGTGTTTTCTGCGGCGTCGGTGATGTTGTTAAGTACGGCGTTTAGCGCGGCGTAGGGCGTGGGGTTGAAGGTTGAAACGGGAGTCTTGAAGCTGAGGGTTATGAGGCAGACATCGAGGAGCGTAGGGCTAAGAGAAACGGTGTTTACAGCGTGGTTGCGGTGGTCACAGGTTCTGCAGCAGGACGGCATGGCGATGGCGGTGGATGGCTTGAAGGATGAGTATTTGTGATCAGTGACAAGCTCCGAGATAAGCTATCTGTCGGCTTTTATGTAGTCCGAAGGGCTAAGAAGTTCGGGAGGCGAAATTTGTGGTCGTTTCCGGATGCGCGATGAGGTGGTGTGATATAGTGCAAGATGCGATTTCCTAGTTTGGAAGACTCTGGAAAGAAGTCGAGATTTTTTTTAATGCAGAGATTGGGAGTAAAATCCGACCAAGGTGAAGTCGAGGTTGCTAAACTATTTCGGGGTTGTGAGTGCAGAAGGATGGGGCTGTGAATGCTCGAACATGAATAGCGAGTGACGAGATCCGTGCTAAAGCGAGGGACGGTAAAACAATGTACGAGCGACGGTGTTGAGCGTTTCAAGTTGCGGTCGAGCACATATATGCTGTGCAAGTAAAATCGGAAGTTTTCCCGAACAATAAAAGCGTGACAGATGAAGGAGGAAGATGCCTTGCACCGCCTCCGGCTCCAGCGTCAGCAAACTTGCCTCCCTAATCGATAAGGACACAGACAACGTTGAAAGGTATATTTAGTAACAACGGCGATGGGGCTGAACAGCGGCGTTTCAGGTGGAGGGGGAAACGGGAAATGTTGACTTATAGTGGAGGGGAATATTTATTGAATGTCGGTGAGAAGCCGGATGGGGACTCGTGATGATGTCGACGATGACCTCGAGAGGGTTACGCGGTCTTGATCATCAAAGCGGCGAATGTTGAAGCTTGCGCGTATGGGAGTCAGCGGTCGTGAGAGGAGAAAGACGGTCTGCTCGTCGTGGGGAAGGACTGTGAGGATGCTCCGCCTCAAAAAAGGTCGTATTCATGAGAGAAGTTAGTTTTGACGCTAAGCCTGAGGTGTCAGTTCAAACCTTGAGTGGCGGTCACGTGGTTGCTGACACACCATCCGAAACCCTTGGAAAGTAGCAGCAGCCGCCTTCCCATTCTCTCGTCTCCTCCTGTTAACGTCGAACTGACCGGTCGATTTGCTCTCCTTCCATAGCACTTGCTCGAAATGTGGCCAGAATAACACGTGCTCAGTCATGGGGACTACCAAGTGCTTCAGCTTTCTGCGCTGCGGTTGGCCATTGTCTAGTCTTTAGCTCCCTTCTCCTTGAAAACTCCCCGTGCTCTAGTCCTTTGAAACACATGAACTATTTTCAGAATATTCTCTGCTCTCGTTAAGCAAACTGGATGAATGAAGAACGTGCTATATCACTTCTCTGGTCACCTTATCCTCTCAGGCAACAGTGGAGCGCTACGGATCTACCAATCTACCACTATCAGCCACTAAATTGGAAAATCTCCATCCGAATTCTTGCACTCCATCCTGTGGAAACCTTTGGCTGCGCCCTTGAGGTTGATCCCGTACAATCAGATCGAGAAGATGTCTTAAAAAGGAGATCCGATCCGAAGCACTATGAGGCAATATCCTACGGTTGGGGGGACTCAGCATTGTCACATTCGCTCAATTTCGGAAATGCCTCGAGACTAGAAATTACCCGGAATGTCAATACCATGCTTCGTTACTTTCGAAGAATCGACAGGCCTCGCTATCTCTGGGTCGACGCTCCTCCATGCCTGAATCAGCGAGATGAGAAAGAGAAAGGAGTTCAGGTGCGGCTCATGGGTAAGATCTATAAGCAAGCGCACAAGGTACACATTGACGAGGCAGGACTGCGATCATGTGCCCAAGGTTTTCACGGCCTTAAAAGCCTTCGCGGTTTGTTCGAAAATTAGTGAACAACCTGACTCGCAGCAAATCCAAGGAACACTAGAGGGCATTTTTAGTCGCGGACATCTCACGAACCTAAACATGTTTTTCTCACGATCATGGTTCGGAAGACGTGGAGTGCCCCAAGAAGCTGCAATGGCCCACCATGCCACAATCCATTGTGGTGACTCAAAGTTAGATTGGCGCTGGTTCTCTAGAGGCGCTCAAGTCCTTTTATGGCAGCTCAACAAGGGCTCGAAATACCCAAAAGGTCATGCAGTGGATTGGAGACGGTATCCGCCATTTTCAAGTCGAGCGAAGCTTTATTATTGCACTACCTTTGGAGTTTCCATTCCCCAGAATGCTCGATGCCAGAATACAGGACCTCCGCCATCTTTGGGATGGCTCAGGACGCATCTAGCATTATCGCCGTCGACTATTCACTTCACAGGACCGAAATCTTCGCTCGAGCTGCGACTTTCTCCTTCGAGAAATGCCCTCTTCAGATGTTCCGATATTTAACTTGTTTTAGCTGCTTGTCCAAGATGCGCACTGAATTGTCATAATTGGAGCAATTCTCGTCCGAACAATTTTCTTTCAAGAGAATATAATAGATGGGATGCATCGTTCCCTTGAGACTCCGTCGCGTTCCCAGATAGTCGAAAACTTCGTCTAAAATTGGGCTATGCAGGCCGGGTTCGCTATGATGGCGACTTCCGAGTCCTCAAATGTCAGCAACCTCGTCCTTCCAAACCGGTTGCTCCACAACCCATCTCACCAGACTAGCTTATCTTGCATTCATCATATTTAAGGTCAAAATTTTCTTAGGTATTCTAGCCTTATCTAACATTGTACTAGAATTTATCTGGGTAAAGTAAGGGCCGTGAATCAAGTTTAAACTTCGCCGAAAACACTTGATATTTCTAGACTATCCGGCCCATCCCTCAAGCTTGACAGTAAACTAAAGGCGTTGCTAGGGATTGAATGAACCCGGCCTCTTCTCGGATGAGGATTTCGCGTTGGCAATTGCATCTGCACTGGAAAAGCGGTCTCTAATTTATACTGGTGGACAGCGAGGTACTGTCGAGATCAGGCCCCTGGACACACGAGATGGAGATTTTGTGACGCATTGTTTCGCAAACGAGCCTCTCCCGTCACAAAGAACCAAGGCAGAAACTTGGCTTCGTCCTGAGGCCCGTGGAACTTCGCCCTGATTTGCCCCAAGGGAAAGCTCACTTCTCTGTTGGAAAGCCCGATTCATTGGATACTGTTTCTTCTGTCGTCTCTCCAGTTCTTCACCACATGAACCAATATTAGTCGATATTGTTTAGGCAGCAAAACGCCACTGGATGTAGTTGTCTTTCATGCTATAGGCTATGCCTCCTATTATCTAGGAGCACTATGTGGAGTCTATCCTAGATCTCACTCCAAACATGAAACTACTCTTGCCAGGCTTTATCTGGAAACCTCCCCACTCCAGAGATACATTCACAGATTTCATATGCCCGGTGTCATCTCAATAGCGAATCAAACGGGAGCTAAGTGAGAGCAGTGACTTCGGTGTCCTGTTCACTACTTTGCAGACGATTTTGTGAACGTAACGAATTCCCTCAACCCCAGATCTTGTTGTACGATACTATGTAGGTCGTCTGATCCTGATATAAAATTTTCGCACGGCATGCTACAGATGACAAGCCCCACAGATTTTAAACAGCACACGGATAGAGCCCAAACCCAACGCAACGACCTCCACTACCCGACATCTACGACTATCCTTCCATCTCACACTTCTTCAAGAACGGATCCTCGGCATCTCCACGCTTTCAGTTCACTACTAAGCAACTAAACCCTGCAGTAGACAGCAGATAGGGCTGTCTTGACGTTACCGTGGGGGAAGGGAGCGATGGGTCGGACTTTTTTTCGTCTTTCGACGACCTCAGACAAGAGCCGTTTCAAGAGGAGCCGTGAGCATCATCGAAGTCGCCATCCCTTAGAACTATAAGCCCTCCCTCTACCCTTCAAAGGACCGCTATCCTATCAAGGACCCACCCTACGAATCTTTCCGTGCCTAATATCTATGGGGGCAAGAGAGTTCTTGAAAGTCCTCGAAAAAGATGGGCAAATAAAAATACATCGGTATAAATTCAATCGAAACTTGTCAGCATGATCTTCGTATGCTTTTCAATTAGCATGACCTGTAGTCTGACTACACTTGTCTTGGTATTCCAGAAGTTATTTAAAGAAAGATTGTCTCGATCCACGATAGCTCGTGCAAAATTTAGAATGCTTAGAGCAACGATTGGAGAAGAGATTCAGTAGCGCAATCCGTTTTCCGTTGATTAATGGTTGAATCACCCGCTGACTATCGATAGCAGCGTGGCCAACAGTCCGTAGTACGTAACGTAACTACGTGAACGTAGTAATCACGTGAGGAGTACAAAAGTAGTTAAAATGTAAGACGTAACTTTTGTACAGTGAATTGCCAAGTACGTCCCGTAGTACGGGTCAGAGAGGTTATATTTTAGGAGATTTCCCTCCTGTTTTTAGACCCTATTAGCTATCGCGTTAGGAGCTTTGTTTAAGGTCGCGTTTTAGAGTAACAATTATAAAAATAGTTAACTTTTGCCCTAGAAAAGCTCCTTATCTTATACCTGCCTATTTACTAACCTATTGCCTATCTTATTAATTGTTACAATAAGCTAGATGTCTTAATTCCTCTATTGCAGCAGGCGTACAGCCTTATCCTAATCCTCCTGCTTATTAGAGTCGTCCTAACAAGCTAGAGACAGAGGGCGATAAGGAGGAGGAGGGGACTTTATCTAGGCTAAAAAGCTTCTCCTAGAACAATTTTAACCTAGACCAACAAAACTTCTTGCGAAAAGTACAAAAGTATAAGGATTTTAAGAAGTTACTGTTACGTTACATACTTGCTAATTAATTCACTGCTTACGTACAAAAGTACTACTAAATTAAGAAGTTACTGGCAGAAAAAAGCTCAAACGTAACGTACTACGTACTGTTGGCCACGCTGATCGATAGTAGTCTGGTTTGACCGGGATTCTCAGACCAGTTTAATCCAGCAGAGGATGAAGACCACCAATCATCCGTTCTGCCCTTACGTTTCCAGTGAAACTTCTACGACCGATAATTATCATCTAGCATCCTCTTGTATATGAATACTGGCACCGACTGGGCCTTCCTTGCTCGGCTGCTAATTACAGGCACGGTGGCGACGTATCAATGTATGCGGACTTGATCATACCATTTAACGACCCTGTTCAGCATTTACTCTCTCCACCTAATAAAACCACCTACAGAGCTCTAGAGCATAGAGTTTAATAGGTGAAATATATGAAGACTATGGAGAAGGCGGAAGGCATGAAGGCGCTTTTCGATATCTGGGCACATGCTTACGACTTGGGATTGACGAGCTACGGCTAACGGCGTGTACTCGCAGTGGGGATCAGAAACCTCCAAGCTCATGGTGCATGCGTCTTGGCGCGGTCGAATTAGATTAATGAGAATAGCGAAGAGTGTCTCAAACTGCACACGCAAGTGTCCCAAGTGAAACCGACATCCTCGGTGACCACTTTAACTATATTGGCGTCAGTATTTGCACCGTTACCCGTCGCGTCTAGTGTTCTCAGCATTTGGTCCTGATTCAAAGATGCTGGGCTCAAGTTCTACAACCTAGACGGTTTCGCCTGCATAAGCTACGCTCTCGCCGCCGTCAGATACGTTGTGCGTTGTTGCGCATTCAATCTCAAGCTGACCCTGTAGTACAATCTAAACAATGAACATTTGACAAGCCAACGGAACTTCTTTCATATTACCTTCAGTCAACAGATCGTGCTCTGGGGTTTGGGAAGCCGCATCTGCCTTGCTGGGTTCCTTGTTGAGATATTCCAAGATCATAAGAAGGGATTGGAGACTTTTGGAGGAGGCCTCGCTCTGTGTCTTACCATACCGGCTTTCTGGGTAGTCTTTGTTGGATGGTGGAATTGGGCCTGGTTATTTTTTTTTCTGATGTTATCAAAAAATTGAAGCAAAAGCCGAAGGAGAAGCGGATGCCGGACAAAGCTTCAGTCTGAGGAACTTGGGGTTGACCAAAGAGTGCCTTTCCCAGACTTCATGAGTATTTTCCGCCATTCCCTGCGTGCACAATTCCCCGCTACTGCCAGAAGGTTAGAATGCCATGTTAGACTATTTTTAACTTCTCAGTTCTACAGGGCGATCATCCATGGGCGGAAAACCAACGTAGAACAGTCTAATTTGCCCTTCCAAAGAAACTTTGTAAGGTTCGAAGGCCAAATTACCCCATAGGTTACTACAAGACTCTCTGAAGCAATTGCAAATTAAGGTGGCCGGGGGGGGTGTATGAAACTACCATCACATTGATAATTTGAAGGTTAGTGTACAAGCTTGGAGACATCTTCGACGCCGATTTGCACTTTTCGCACCTTCGGGGTTGTCCGCGGGATAGCGAAGTGGGCCATCCGGATATGGTTAGTTCGTATGTGGCGGAAGGCAAGCAGAACAACTGCTTGCGGGGCGGAATATGAGCGCATTCTCAGCCTTGAAGGCTCCAGGAGCTTGACCCAATGATTTGCTTCTCTTCGGCCTTGCATGCAGCCCGCCATTTAGCCTTTTCCGGTCGTACTGTTTTGGTTAAGATCTCCCCCTCCATCTCAAGTCCCGCACTTTGAATACCCTGGAGCCTGTTCTATTTCCCAATCCCCACACTGATCAGAAATCTTGGATTCGACCAGTCTTTCCATCAGAGCAATTTTTAGCCCGTATCCTGCCTTCCCAATCGGGGGGCTGGCCCACGGCTGTAAATCCACTCTCAAGCAAAGTTTCTGAATCAACAGTTCGGACACTGTCTCGGGTCGTGGAAACTGTCAAGCTATCAGAACAGAGGTAGCTTTTGGATTTGCCCCTTCTTAAAAGACCCTCTTCAATCCAGCAACTTGCTCTTCAAGGCGGATTCAAAGTGTTCAGCAAATGCAGCCGGCAGATCTTGCCTGAGGATACGGAGGATTCTCAACCGTTATCAATCCCGCAGCCTTGTTGCAGCACTTGCGACCCTATCAGTGCCTCGCCTCATTGAGGTCGTATGATGCGAACCATGAGGGCCTAAATAAAATTGACTTGAAACCAAGAATCTGGAGTGGGAAGGGATCAAGCTACGCCCTACTAAACACCCGCGAAACATCCCAACCAGTCGCCTGAGCGGGGCTAGACAGCATCCAAAACCTGTCCCAGCCTTCCTCGTACCTGCCATCTGATCTAGTACCTCGTCCTTCAAAATGGCTGAGGAAAGATCCAAATATTCGTTCATTCTTCACGCCCTAAGCCTTATTTCTAGCTCGTAAGTCCTCTTCCACTCTAGAATTGACTCCAAGTTACCACATTCCTCGGACTGCAGCTCAGGTAGGAATGAAGCAATCCACAGACTCTTATTTGGCCAAATACCTAGACTAGGATACATCCTAACTGGCCAATACATTTAGTAGCTAGTGGGGAGCACACAGACAGCTGTCCTTCAGTTCTTATCGTACCCTGTTCCTCATCCTGAAGCCTCACTTTGGCCCTTGTCAGAACGAATCAGGTAGGCTGTGTCTCAACGCTCCGTCGGTAAGGCCCGTATGGATGAGGGAAATCGGCGTCCTTCTCCAGTTTGTATACCTATTTATCTTCTCTCTATTTCCGCTCTCCCTTGATTCCTGAACCAAATGCACCCACTCCCGTTTCATTATTCGAGGATTCATTCGGACCACCCTTCCAAATTATCAGTACAATCCTCAACAACTAGGAAAGTGATTTAGGACCTAGTGATAGGATTGGCAAAGGTTCTCTCGTCATTGCTCCACTCGCCGCTGTGTCCTAGAAATTGGTTCAGGACTCGACATCGTACGCACTATGCATTTTGGGCGCAAACACTATGAAAAGTGTACGTGCTAATAGAATTTAGCCACTGCTTCGACTTCAGAGCGATCGGAGGACAAACGCAGTCCAGCTCACGCAATGAGGCAGACCAACGACACGGGACCTCATGACTCGAGTGATTTCACTAGGGGGAGACTTAACAGTGGCGTCCTTGCTGGGATCGCTCTCGGATCTATCGTAGGGATGTTATCCCTATCTTCTAAAAGAGAACTGGTCATAGACAAAGACTCACGCATGACATCTCGCCCAAAACCTCCTCCGAGATCAAGCAGTCCATTCGGGAACCGACCTAACACGTGGGGGAGAAGTCCAAAAAGCTATAGTATTTCGTCCCTGGATGAGAACTCCGACGAGGAAACTCCAACATGCTCATCTATCAGACCAACGAGGAGAGATCAATTAACCAACTATGGGCTATGCCAAGGAAGCACGGGAGTAGATCTCTATACATACCAAGACAGCCATCCTTTTCCTACCCCACTTGACAGCCGAAACGATGTTAGATATAGTAGTCTTAAATGTGAGAGGAGTCCATCAGTTACGCTCAGAGCCAGCGATATGCGGAACAATGCATATGACAGCCATTTTCAAGGGTCGAGCCCACGGGTTGCACCTAGAACCAATGACCGACTTTCTGAGCAGGATCCATCGTTCACCGCACCACCAGATCCGCGGCATTTGCCGACAAGGGACCATCACCCAAGCAGACCTGGATCCATGCCTTGTTCCGTGCAGCGTGAGCCTTGTGATCATCGCTGGTGCGGTTTCTCCAATATACCCCAGCAACATTATCAGACCCAACCCAACAATTCCGTATCTGGTGACACTGACTCGCCGCTATCTCGACCGCAACATAATATTCGATCTTCCTCTGACCTCACTCAGTGGTCTTACACATTTGATCATGATACTGCAAACTCTTCGCAAGCCGCATATAAACACCGGCTGTGTGCTGATAGCAGTGTACCGCTGAGCCCATCATACAGGCCAGAACCGGGACAGCAGACCACTTCAGCAGACCGGAAGGAACCAATTTCTCATACAATAGGATCCGCGGACCAACGAACTACCAGCACTCTAATCGCAGATGGAGCACAACGATTTGCTGACAGATGTCCTGAAGCGGAAGACGTTGCCGGTACTAACAGCGACTGTGCTGAATCTTCCGACAGGGCTCGGAGGCACTCCCTCCATGAATGCGATACACCCCAGAGTCCAGGCTATTTCGAAGATATGCCACGCTCCCGTTCTCGTGTTGGCTTGAGAAGATCCAAATCGAGGGGATCCGACTCCCGCCGCTTAGAAGCCTCTTTCGTGTTCGAGGGCAATCCAGCGTTTGATGGTGGCCACCCCTCAAATACCGATTTAATACCATCTAGTACGCATCTATGGCAAGCCACACCACCGCCAAATCCATTCCCAAGTCCCCCTCAATCACCATCATCACCGAACGGCATTCCTTCTTCCGTTACGAGCAGAAGCCATAGTAGAATCTGTCCTCCCATATCCTCATCACCACCCGCTCTCAGCACATTTACTTCTGCGGAAAATTCGCGATTTGCTGCTGATTTTACTGCGACGTTTGTTGGTAGGAGGGAGGGTAGGAGAGTTTCGTTGCGGATTTCGGGAAGGGGAGGGAACGAGTGAGCAATGAGGGGTTTGTGGACGGGATGTGGAACGAATGTACTGCGGAAATGCTAGGCAATTTGTTGCTGCTGCTCTGTCAGAATTGATGTTTATGAAAATGAGCCGCATGTGTACTTCGAATTTTGCGAATTTAGTGTAGCAGTATGATAATACTAGATCGGCGTCAGATACAACTAGTGCATTCGGAAAAACACTCGTAGCCTTCCGAGAATTGGGGCTTTCCTGGTGAAAGAGGTTAGCCTGTTTGTCCAACCATCCACTCAATGCGCACTTCACCAAGATTACATCTCAAGGTACCTCCTTCAAATGTAATCTACTCTTCGCCCCAAACTACAAACTCTGCTTTCCCCATTGTCCCAATAAGAAAATCTAACCTACTGAAAAACACCACAAAAGACAACACCCCACTCGCATAACTCAGTGCTTTCGGACTCCACCCCGCATTAATGGCCACAACCGGCTCCCAAAGTCTCGCCACCGCGTTAAAAATTCAAAATGCCCGTTCCTACCTCACGATTTGGGGCTGGGAAGACCCCGGATTTATTTATGTTTAGGACGCTGTACGCGACGCTGCCCTGGACACGGAGGTGGCGTAGTTGCGGTAGACGATGGATATAGCGGTTAGTTACCCCTTTCAGGAATTTGGGAGGTATTGTGGAAGAAAGGTATTGAAGAGCCGGTAAGCCATTCCGATGATGGTCCTGTGGAACCAAATTAGCATGGTAGTGAGATGGAGCTTCTTGCTGCTGAAGAGGGGGTGGTTCACTGCGTGAAGAACATTCCGAGGAAGAGACGGATGTTTTCAATGGTGCTGAGTTTAGAGTTTGGAGTGGCTTCACGAATGCACAGGCTGATGAAAAGGGAGAGCGTAGCGTAGCGGACATTGTTCTCGCTCACTCCAAATCCGAGCGTGAGATTGGGGAGTGTGAGCGACGTCCTGGATATTAATAAGTTTGGTTTTCATGATGGGGTTTTAATTTAGATACCTGGAGATACGGGCTATGCCGAAGTTAGAAAATTATACCTTTTAAGACCAAACCCACAATAGACGAACAACTTCCTCTGGTATTGTCCTAATCTAATGTCCAGCAGAGCTTTATTAATAACATTAGATGACCCTATCCTTGTCAACATATCCTTAATTTATCCGTCCTTATAAACAACCGTCAATACAAAGATCTCCACATATAGGGGAACTGAGCACACGACTTACTATCATAACTCGAATTCAGTTCCGACGCCGTCAAATCTGCTTCGACCTCTGTTATCAAACTTCCAAACTCCAGCCGACAGCCACACAAATTCCGACTTGACTTTCATCAGCCTTCCCATCTTGCCCATCTATTCTCGAAAGCGTTGACACAATCAAACCGCGAAGTTGGGACGCTATGGAGCGCCGGCGGGATCCCTGTTGCAATAGAACTAAGGCTCGGTCTCTAGTGGCTGTGGTGGTTGTTGAGATGCTTCGCGTCGCGCGCCATAATCGCAAACCTATAGTTTTGAGTGGCAGAAAATAAATTGGAAGCTTGGGTAGATATGCAGTGCGTAGCTCATAAGCCAAAGAATTCAGGTATGGGGTGTGTAAAGATGCTAAGAGAAAGACGTCCAAGAGAACTTGGTATACAAAAGGCTTATTTGACAGTGAAGGTAGCACGATCTATGATATGGAATGTATTTGAGATATTAGATCCATAGATGTGCTTACCAAGGGGCCGGAAGAGATAAGTAAATTCGTCCAATTTGCAGTCACAGACGTAGAAAAATATTTCTCCAGACACCATTCCAGTGTGCTGAAGTCCTGCACCGCTCGCACGATTCTTTGCGGTTCTGGTGAAGCACTTCTGAGAAAATAGTAGTTAGACGGGCTCGTAAGAGCTTAATTTTTGATCTGAAAATAAGAGACAACATGCGAAGAACCCACTCAACAGCCCTGTCATATTGCAACTTGTCACCTAGCGCGGAACATAACAGGGTTCATTTAGGACAGAAATTTGCATCCTGATGGCGCTCTCATTGCGTTTAGCAAGAGGTTTAATTAGTACGTCCCATCCTAGTTATGTCTCACGTTGAGAGAGAAGGCAAAGGACACCCAACTAACAAAGAAAAGATTCACAAAAATGCGCAGCTAAACTTATCCCATGCGCCAACCACACCGCTTAACACCTCCTTCCCTCAAGCATCTGCACCAGCCCCGGACTAGTTGCTACCTTCCACTACCCCACAGTCCCATCCCTCGCATACGTGAACCCCACATCCCAACTTAAGCACACATTCCCCATATACGATACCTTTCTCAAAAATATCGCATTCAACGGGGCAGACTGCGAATCTCTAATCGGTGTCGAAAAATCCGGCTTCTACATCACACTATGGGCCAACCCTGAAACCTGAATCCCACCCTGGCTATTGCCCTCAGGGTTCGAGGACTGTGCTTGCACAAAGCTTGACTCTGCTACTGGTGTCGGGATTTCGATGACCGACGGGGGAGGGATATCCGACTGTAATGTCCCAGCTCAGCTGAGCGACTTTGGCTACGAGTGGGCCTTCCTTGGGATGGTTGATATTCCTTTGCATGGGTCAGCGGAAAGACGTAGGTTGAATGTTGGGGGTGGGGAATTGGCGATGGGGATACCGGCTGTGGCTGCGTAGTTTAGGCCTGGAGCTGCGATTGACATTCGAGTGAAGTGCGTCGGTCATTTAGAGGGATGGCGAGATTCTCAATCACACATGCACCACATCTGCAAAAGTCCTGGACATCCTTGATGGATACAGCGCCCTAAGGTAGATCATTCTGAACATTGGTAGCGATATCTACGTAATGGACGTTGAGGGATTGAGTGCGGCCTGATCCAGGGGAGTTCCTGGGTTCGTGAAGAGAGGTGCACTTTAACTTGGGTTACTAGTGTGCCCACTAGGTGCGGATTACTCGAGTCCGTTGCGTCGTAGAGGTACTGGAAAACTCCCACCTTCATGTCTGCTTTGAGCGGAATGTTAAGCGCGGTGTCTTGCTGCTCGTAGAAAACGTCCACTTCTTGTGACTATGGTCTTCTCGAGCTTGTGCGGCGATTCCCACCTGCAGCAACATAGATTCTTGGGCCGGGGACTAATCCAGCTGCCCGAACCTTGGCGTCAAGACCGATTCGATGTATAGCGATGGATGGTCTGGAAGAGAGGGCTTTTCGTAAGGGACTACTCGGGCTGGGTTGGACTGGAGATTATGTGACATCCGCTTTCTTCCGCCCATATAGTCGGTTTTTAGTCTCCGATGTATATTCGCAGAGGAAGGTTGATGATCATGGTCGAATTAGTAACGTCGATTGATCGTGGGAGTAAAGTTTGTCCATTGTTGTTTCGGATCTGGAGCGAGGCGCTAATAGTGGAATTCTCCACCCACAGTACGGATCCGTAAGTTAGAGCAGCAGTAAGTCTGCTTGGGAGGATTTAAGATCGGAGTTTCACGGCCTAGATCGGGTGGGGGCTCAATGGCCACCGTTCGCTTTGATCGGTTTTGGCTGCCGCCTCGCCCTTTCTAGAAGAACAAAGGAAAAGGAGCCAGCTTCGTCGGTCAATGGCCACGTGTCCGGGAATTGGGACTCGATGGAAAAACTTGGGAATGGGTCAACCCAACGCTGACTGTTGCGATTTAGAGACAGTTTACCATTCACTCGATGTTTGATCATGAGAGACTGGTGTATTGCAAGATTCCTTATCTGGATTGCGATCTTGTCGTCACAAAGGCGCGTAGTGATATTCGGGACCCCGAGTTTCGTAGTTTCGGAAATCTTCGGTGGCTTCGATACTGGAGACTTCAGGCCACATCGGTCGAAAAATTGCTATGCTTGGGCAACGTGAGGTTCCCCCGGACCAACCGCGTCGGACAGCCAGCCTACAAATTTGTAGCGCTCGACGTTGCCATTGACGGCATTTATTCGCTGGTCGTTATTCGGCGCGGAAATGCCCATTTGAGCGCTGTCTAGAATGTTTGACAACGCGATCTCGTTGTAGCATGTCTTAGGAGTTTCGCAAAACTGCAGTTCCTCCAACGGATCCTAGAACTTTGCATCTTCGATTAGGTACTTCTTCTTCTCGCTATCATGCCCCACTTCGCCCTTCTTTGTTGTACTCTGCCGGACTGCGATATACTTCCCTTGAGGTAGTAGGGCGTTAAATCCAAGATGAAATTAGTCCTTGGCCCCTTCCGGGCCTGGGCAAAGACTAAAGTCGGGTCACTGTGAATCTGCACATAGATCCAAGCACCAGGAGCCCTCCGAGGTTAATGTAGTCGCTGCATGCATGTACCAGGGTCAAGAGAATCAGTGGAGGAATCAGGACTGGCAATCCTTCGACTTGAATCCTTCGGTCTGGGGGAGTGGGCTCACATTCATAGGGTCCACCCGCTCGGAAGCTCTTCGTCTGCTCGACTATGGTGTACTCGCGTCTGCGTGGGAGGGTGTCAGACGGGATCCATTGGCCGGATAATGGGCGATCTCCGGGCTCGGGGTCGGTGACATCGGTCAGAATGCTGGTGTGAGATCCGGTAGCACGGAGTTGGAATCAAATGTGCATACCCGTGAGATGCATAACTGGTGTGATGGGTAAAATGGGGCCAAGGAGAACTGGCGGTGCTTGGGGTAAGAAAACACCCATGATAAGCGATATGAACGAGGTCCGTCAAATCGATACGGGCAATATACAGGTTTACCACAAGAGTGAATGCTGCAGTCCCGTTCAGATACTCACACTAGAATCCTTTTATATAAGTATCTCTCTGTTCTATTCCACGTCTTTTGACATCTGGATAGTCCGGATCTTCATTTCTTTGTACCATGGCATCCTGTAACGTCTACTGGAATGAGAATTTCCCTCGATCCTACCAAATTGGACGCAACCCTCCCTACTCCAGGAAATCTTGCCAAAGCAGGAAGCCAAGACTTCGGCCAAGACTTTCCGCTAGCTCAGGCTGAAAACTCCTAGGCTCTAGCCTCGATTATCTCATCAAGAGCATCCGTAGTCTCCCACGGAAAGTACACGCAGCCTGTTCGAGGAAACAGTATATATCCTCCCGAAGCAGGGCTTAACGTTCGACATGCGGGAGTGGGGTTGCGGGAGAAAACATGGCATCTGAATCGATAGAGAGGAGGTGTTAGGTATTCGAGGTCGAGGCGCGACGCGTTGAGATGTTTGGGGAGAAAAGGAGAGTCTGTGTGGTCTTGAGATAATGCGCCACATGGAGGGAGCTGCGGCTTGGCATATTGGCGGACGTAATTGACCCACCCCACTCAGAGGCTTGACCCACAGCAAGTGGATCATCTACTGCGACCTATGCGGGAAACCTCTCAAAGGCTCTGGACTATGGTCTGTCTAGGGGATCCAGTTGCCGGGACATTGTATTTCGCTGCAATCTATACTTGCTAGATCTAGGTATATCTGCTCTTTTGTTGCTCTTTCAAAAAAAAAAAAAATTTTACCAAAAAAATATTTCAGAACTCCATAAAGCAGATAACTACGTGTACCTATCGCAACATTTTTTACCAAACTTAAAGCCCCAGAGTTTCCCAAAGCTGAATTCCAGATGTCTCAATGTCCGCTTTGTCCGCGGATCTCTCCATCTACCATCATCTCATGATCCTCTAGTCCGTTGTCCTTCGACACCATCCTTCCCAGGTACCAGAATGAACAGATGACAAGTACTGCAGCCATAAGCAGAGCGTCGAAAACATATATCGGCCACTCTGTTGCTAGAAGCGGTCCATTCTCTATTAATTAATGGGTTAGTCTTTGATAAAAGCTGGTGACTGTCGATATGACATAAGGGGAAAAGGTGGGATCCACTTACCACCCATAGCATACTCCACAACACGAAACACATTCCTCACCGTAATCAGCACACTAGCCACATACAACATCCCCAAATACCTCTCCCAATTAAAATCCGAAAATGCCGACCTTCCACCCTCCCGCTTCCGCATCCTCACATGAAACACCACACCAACCAGCATGAAAAACCCGAAGATAACAACCTGCAACACAAGGCCGAGGAGAATAATCAACTTCCCTCGATCCCGCGCTGACGGATCTTTCGTGCCCGCTATCATACTTCCGCCCATTGCTTGGATTAAGAAACAGACGATGTCGCCGCCAACGAAGATCTTCGTGAGCCAGGTGGTGCGAACAAGTGAGTAGGACGCGAAGCCTGTGGCACGGATGATGCGACCGAGAACCATGTACACGGAAGCCGCGAAGAGGATGGGGGCGAGGAGGATGAGCAGGTATTGCATGATGTAGGGGCCGAGGAGTTGGGGGTGGTAGTGGCCATAGGCTCGACCGGCGTAGCCGATGATCTCAACTATGCAAGGGGCGTGTTAGAGGAGGGAAGGAAGTTGTAGTGTTGAGGGGGTTGGGGGAGCGTACAGATGGCTCCAACGACGAAGGGAATGCAGAACCAGGTTTTGGTTTTGAAGAGCCGGAAGAGGTGGACGCAGAGGAGGATAGTGAAGACTATGACTGCAACGGCGGCAGCGGGCACCGAGGGGCTAAATTGGTAAAGTTTATGTTGTTCTGGCATTTTGAGGCTGTGGAGGGTATGTTGGTAGCGACAGCAGAGGTGAAATAAGAAAACTGAAGGGTCCCAATGTCCCTGACTGAAAATAACGATTTTTACAGCACAAATTCTTGATGGGAGAGAGTATACGTGAATACAAGGGATGATAGTTTGGAGAATGAAATTATTTACATGTCGAGAGTGGAGGAAGAAAGATGAAGACGCTCAAACCTCACAAAACGCTACAGAGATCTAAGCCCCAAAAGTCCTCGTCATAATACAAGGTTGTACAACCGCGTTTGGTCCGCCAATGGTCTTTATCGTGCTATCAAAAGGTGTGAAAAGGAGTTTTGCGAGCAATTGGGCTAAGCGCGTGGTAGAATCGGGATAAGCGCTGAGGCTTAGACGTGGTGCTGGGAACGAGAACGAGAACGAAAACGAGAACAGGGATGCGAAACGAAACAATTGGTCGATTATTGCTGACACGTTCTCGCAGCGAAGACAAAGGGATGAATATCTGAGAGATACAAGTGCTCGAAATATCGGCATTTTCTTGGCGGTTGCAGCTTCTACTCACCCAGGCACTTCTTCAGTCTTCGGCGCCTTGGCATCATGGCGAGTATAGTGGAAGGCCCTGTCTATGCTTCTTGAATCGCGTTCGTGAACGTTCTCTTAGCAGAAGGCATGAGCTTACTTGAAGGCCGTAAATATGTGCGGAGTACCTAACTTGAATGGGGGCAGACACCCAATGATGTATTCCTGCACAAGGAAATCACTCGGAAAGCCCTACCTGTCTTCTACAGAACCTTGTGAGCTCATCTAAAGCATTAGATCTCTCAGTAAGAGCAAGAGCACTCGATAAATCTTCCACAAGCGCCTTTCCGGAAAACCTCGACCACCACATATCATCGAGGTGAGCTATGAGGACGCCCCAGTACATGAAGAATGCCTTCGCAACCACATCCCCTCTTCTCAACTCCGCCAGAAACTTTGGCCCCACCTTCGCCGGCCAGACCATAATCGGACGGTCCCAGCTGGAGAACGTTTCGAGAGTTTGTATCGCTGTTTCAAAAGTAGCGTATCTCCTGTCTTCGACACCGACATATGTATCGTTCAACGTCCGCAATCGTTGAGCTGGAAGTAGGCTCTCGGCACTTAAAGATTTATCCCTCACGGTTCCGAACATGCCACTGATAGGTCCATTGAGCAGCCACGGGCGACTCAGGTCGACAATTGACGTAATCGCATTGATGAAGTCGACAACCTTCAGCATCGCCTCGGTAGTAGGCCTGCGATGATCCTGGAAATTGGTAGGCAGAAGTGGCGACACAATTGCGCAGACCAACATGAGCACCGAAGTGACAAAAACAGCATCGCAGTTTGATGGAGTGATGTTGCTGTCGAGTGTTTTCCGAAGACCTGACAAGGTTTGGTTCTGGTACTCGAGCGCTGTGCCAACGTGAGCACATGAAGCCTTGGCGTCACCTGTCTCACAAGCAAGGTGAAGAGACGTCAACGCGAATATGGCGTCCATGAGATAACTATGCCGGAATGCCTCCTGCGTCACGTGAACTCTAAATATCTCGACATTTGACTGCCAAAACCCTTCGCAAGTTTTCGTAGACCAATGATGCATTAGCTCGAGCTCTCTAACTCTGGTTTGGGATCGAGGAGACGGGGTACCAGTGGCATGGCCTCCAATACTGCTGGCGAGAGGCATATCTTGGCTTGAGCTTGAACTTAAAGCTGGGGAAGCGTCAAGGTGTGGATAGGCGGCGGAGGACTTGAGAGGGGAATGAAATCTCCGTAAATATTGACATTGTTCATGCCGGGCTGTGCAGTTCGTGCAGCGCGGTTCCTTCTCATCACACTTGACCCGCCTCTTCCGACATCGATCACATCCGAGTCTGGATTTGGTGTGAGGCCTTTTCTGTGGCATCGACGGGGTTAAGAAAGTGGGGTGTGAGACCGCGAAACCGTTTGCGGGATGAGGCCTAGAAAAGGACGAGGAACTGAAAGGAGGAAGTGCCTGGGCACGCAGTGTGTTTCTCCTTCGAAGCCTGGAGCAGTTTCAAGATCTTACGCCCCTAACCCAGTTTGACTTAGTTTCCAACCCCGAACTTCAAAGCTTCAGGCACACGAATGCACCGCGACAGAAAGTATCACCAACAAATATATTAATTGGAAGAAGAAGTCAGCACTTGTCAATTCTAACGCGCGCAACCAAACACACTGTTTTCATGTCATCCAGGGATTGCCATGTGAGCTAATTACTAGAGCGTTGGATCGAGAGCTGGGAATGGTGGTTGAGGTGAGCTCCGCACTAAGCTTCGCCCCCAGATTTGCAACTGTAGCTGTCAAATAAGGCCCGCATCTCATGAGAATTTGTGAATTCGGGTCATTGCTACTTGGTTTGGCGGGGCCTGAATAAAGTGCAAAGTGGATATGAATTCAGTTTTCCAAACCCACTCTCAGGCTTATGTTATTTGAGAGGCTCCATGCAGGTACTTTGCGGCTGACCGAAAAGCTCCGAATTCCTACGAACACGGACTTGAATCATAAACCAAAGTTCATGTCACCGGACTTGGTACTTCGTGTAATTATATAAGGAAGGCTATTGCTGTCACGCACCTGTTCTTTAGGACAACACGACTGCTGAAACGACGGTAGAAAGTCCGAATCGCCTAACCACAGCAAGAATTCCCAGCACACAGGTTCCTCATGGCCATGGCGACATTCATGTCGTACCTCAACATCGAGGGCGACTCGGTCGTTACTGGTCCCGTGCCACTTGACCCCTTCCTCCCCAACTCTGCCAATCTCTTCCCAAAGATGATCAACCGTATAAACGACTCAGCATGGGAGTTGTGGGAGTTCGATGCCTTCTCTTCGGACGGTGAGACCGCTGTCTCAGTTTCCTTCTACCGAGATGCACGCGGTATCAAGGAGGGAGGCTTCCACGTAGACCTTAACGCCATCTGGCCCGACGGCAGCAAATGGGGCGAAGAGCTCTACTTCCCCGAGTCTATCATTACAGCCGAGGGTGAATCGCGAGTCCACGGCGTCTGGAAATCAAATACGGCAAGCGCGAGCTTCAACATAACAGCGGATCTGTCGAGCGCTACCGTGCAATTCTCTGTACCCGAACGCGTAAACGGGACCATCGAGCTATCCTCTCAGGGAAATGGACGGGAATCACGCTTGCCAGGGACTGAGGACTCGGCGAAGCTGGGCCCGGCTGTATATTATATGTTTCCTATGGGACCAGCGGACGCCAAGGCGGACTTGGCCTTTGGAGTAGATGATGAAAACGGGGTTGTTTACGAGCGGAAGCTTCTCGTACATGCCGACAACGGCGCCCGTGGCAGCATGGTTCGGGGCTGGTCCGCCGTCGCGTGGCCGGGAATTATGACAGACGCCTATTACCTGTCCGCCGTCGCTGGACCGTATATGCTGCAGCTGATACGTATTGTGTCGTCGGCGGCTACCGATTTCACGCCATATGTCGTCGCCAGACTCTACCGAAACGAGAAGTTGTTGTGCGCTGCGCAGCAGCTTGTTGACGCTCAGTCATCGAAAAATGGCGTGCTCGCGGCGGATGCCGTTGTTGTTGAAAAGGTGTTGGAAGGGGATCGGGGGCTGACTGGAGCGTTTCGAGACAAGAACAGGGGTTATGTAGTCGAATTCGTTGAGGGCGCCAAGGGTGGCATGCGGGAAGAAGGAAAGCGATGGCGTTTCGAGACGAGCCACAAACTTGCATGGTGGAGCGAGCCAACAAGCGCCCCTGGCCCGCAGGGCACAGGAAAGTCCGGGTTCATTGAGGCCGTGTTCGGGGGGTCAGGTCGTCACAGATTCGGAGATTCGGATGGTGAAATGACATTCGAAGGGGCCGGGGTTGCTGGCCAGCTTCAACTGCAGTAGAGTCTAGCAAAGGAGTAGGGTCCCTTAAAGGCCTTAAATGTAGTCCCTTCTTGCCTTATCGTATCAGATTATCTCTGCCCCTGTTGCGGCAGATCTTCGCGGCCCGTGCAATAGCCACAAGCCCCAGGCGAATTATCGAATGTCTTGTTTTACGCTAAGCTTCGTGAGCGTTAAAGCTTGTAGTGAAGGAGTTAGATCTTAGGGCAATGGGCGATAAACTTTGAAGAAGCGGGCATGTTGTGTATCGACCGTTGGGGTGCGGAATGGTTCTCGCACGACTGCACCTGAATAGACTGACATATCATACAACACTAAAAGAATTGAAGCCCACCACGGTGGAACCTCTTATTACTGGACTTCTGGATCGTTTGGCAAGTGGAGTTAGAGTGCGAGATACGAGACACGGTCTCGCTTGTCCGGACGAGCGAGGGGTTGCACGTGGGGTCCCAACTCGATGCTCCAGGGCTTGTGTTGGATCCAATTTAATTGCTACCCCGAAAGCGGGTGACATTCCAGTCTCAGCTCATTAACCTTTGCATTTATTGGAGTGCTTACACAGGCTGATCCTTTGAGCGAAAATGAATGCCGATGAACCAGTCCTCTGGTTCACCGAAGCATCTGCAAGCTGGCTGCCTGGTAAAGGGAATGCAAGCAAGCTACTCCACCCCTGCACGCTCCTCCTGTCGGTCATGGGCTCAACCAACTCGTCAGTTCCTCTAGCGCCGTCAATTACCTCTTTTGCATGGAGCCGTTGAGGAGATTTCGAGATCGTGTCCGCGCTGAGCCCATATGCAAACCACCAACGTCGGTACATTAGGCCTGCTTCGTAAGGCGCATAAGAGTCTTGTGCATCTGTAACGGGGACCGTACAAAAAGGAAGCTGGATAACGGGTTAGATGTAACCCATATATGGCCTTGTATCTGGCCCGGACATCTGCATGCTGTGAGTCCCGACCTTGTACCAGAGCACACGTATGCTCCCCAACCATGCCTTCGAGTCCACCCTCCGATATCTTTCTTTCCATTCGGACTTCTTGCGATAGGTGCCGCTTTCAGAAGCTGAAATGTCTTATATCCGAAGATTCGAGCAACTCTATGTGCTGTCAGCGGTGTGCCCGAGCAATGGTTCCCTGCGTTTTTAGTCGTCGAAACAAATCCAGGCGGAAAAGGGCTGCGGCGATGCCCATCTCCGAAGGGGACGGCGTGCCGACAAAGGTCACGACCTCGAGCCCGTCACAAGCTCCTTGTCCGAGCCCTATGAAGAAGGATATCCCGAATTCGGAAGTACCAGTAACCCGGACCTCCGATGGTTTCTCCCACGACAGTAGGAATCAAGCTTTTACGCAGGGCGAATTGGCATTGAATGGAGCTTTAGAGCCATGGGGCATAGCAGAAGACCCGCTCAATTACCCGTTCCAAGAAGATACAATCATGAATGACTTGTGGCTCTTCACCGACGATATAAGCCTTGGTAGTCTAGGTAAAGAGGGACTGGGCTTGCCTAACTGTGGAGTTATGCCTGTATCATCATCAACCAGTGAGGAGAAGACCAGCCCATTTGGTTCTACCTCTTTTGAGGCACATATGACGCCCCCTGAGCGTGGTGCAGCCACGAAAGTACTCCTATGTCTTGCCTCCGACTTGCACGAAACCCTGGAGGCATTGAATAACGGACGGTGGCAGCAGAGAGAGACCTGCCGAACCCTGGACAACTACCCCATCGGCAACATTCTCCACTTGTCGCAGGAATTCATCGAACTTGGAACTGCCCTACGAAAAGTCAGATCCGAAGACGATGCCTCGGGGAAGCTGCAGACGAACTGGCAAGGGGAGTTTATCGGAGCCTTTGACCCTCCGCAACTCGGGCAGGGGTCTACAGCTTCACCGACCTCCTCATCCTACGTCGACACCTCAGTAACTCTCATCCTAGTGAGTTGTTTCGTCACGCTTACTAGGATCTATTCCACTGTTCTGGGACACTTCCGGGACCACCTCAATCTACAGCCCAGTGGACAAACAAACACTCCGCATACGAGCATCGACCTAGGGCCGACGCTGTGCTTTGGCGAGCTGCCACCCACCAATACGTGCTATAGCCGCGTCTACACGGCGGTTAGCATACTCCTCGACTTGTTTAAGCAGGCTGAAGAGGCTTTCGGCCTGCCCCCTGAGAATCGATTCGCTGGCAGTCTGCAATCCTCAGGCACCTGTGCCACATGCACGCCGGAGACAAAATCATTCTCCGACGCCTTGGTGAACCGGGGGTTGGCTGGTGCACTGCCTTGCTTGGAGGCACTGACGAGCGCGAGTGGGGTTCAGGAAGCGCTTTCTGTTTTGGAGAAGCAAGTTGCAGACATTAAGGGTCTTGTACGAGAGAAAATGGGGTTGTAGTTTACTGTGCTATCACTAAAACGGATATAAAACGGGTTGGCTAAGTTGTTTGTAAGCTCAATTTCGATGTTATCCCTCTCTTTAGGGTTTTAATCATATATACTGCATTTATGCCTGCTATGATTGTCTATCGCCATCTATTCGAGCTACCCAGTCCCCATTTACGGGTTGGAAAACCCAAGCCAGGATACACCAGCTGCTTGGAAAAAAACACCCCCCCTAATGAAATCCCACATGCCCATACCATCTCTTATGAGGGAAGGCTATAACCGGACCCTGAAACAAGTCTTATTGGTACTGAATTTCCGCCATATATGGGTGATACCCCATAAATTGCTCGTTTCGAGCCCATCCGCACATGATATCTGACCTTTTACCATTGGTTTCTGTTTCCAATTCGCTGGCAAGCACATCATTGTGAAATCGCGAAATACTGGCCTTCTAGATCTTGTTAAATTAAGTATATATATATCGGTAATAGTATAGAATCTACGTACAGAAAATAACCTGATCGTGGTGATGCTGCCTCTCACAAATATACATCTCGTCAGTAGTTCACTGCAAACCGAGTCCTCAGCCACTCGCCGTACTTGTAAAACAAGACCGGAATAGGTGTGAACAGGATGCCGATAAAAGCTAACAAGCTGTTTCCCCAGCCAAGTCCTAAACTAGCGTATAAATGAGGTCCTGCAAGAGGCAAGAATGCTCCCGCAATGTTGCGCAAGACTGTGTTTGCTGCTAAAGCGGAGGCAGCGGCCTCGGATCCAAAGGCGTCTACGAGGTAGATCTGTACGGGCATCATTACCAGGAACATGCTAAAGCCTATGAAAAAGGTGCCCAAGATAGGTACGATCCAGTGGGTGTGTTGGTCGGCGCTCCATCCATACCAGAAGAAGCCGATGGGCATGATGGGGGCAGCAAAAATCATCAGTATAAGGCGAAGCTCTGGTCGTTCAACAGTTCCGCCCCGAGGCTGGTGGAGGAGTTTGTCGCTTAGCACGCCAAAGAGACCTATAGCGAAAAGCATGCCCAGTCCGAGCCCGAGGTATGCGAGTCCTGCAATACCGAGACTGAAATGGTATGTCTCCTCAAACACAGCGGGGAAGGTAGTAAAGAGTAGGTAGATAAGGCCAAAGATAAACGCACTGTAGACAGAGAGTAAGAGGACAATGGGCGAGAAGAGGAGCATCTTCGTGGGGCGTACTACAGCGCGTGCTAGAAGCTGTTTTGGAGTAAGATTTTTGTTGTACGTTCGAGCCTGGAGTCTGGTGTTCCCTGTTGCCTTGCGCAGTGCAGTAGCCTTGCGCTCGAGAAGAACTGGCTCGTAGGTCTCGCGCATTACAACAAGGGCGGCTAGAGAGATAATGCTAGTCTAAAGTAACATATGTTAGCTAGCAAAAGCCCAGGGCGCTCATAGGGTCCAAGACTGACCAAGATTAGTACTAGCCAGAAGGTCCAGCGCCAGCCGATGTTCTGGGTTACAAATCCTCCAATCACCGGACCAATAACCTACACGATTATTAGAGAGTAATTTAGACCTGGGAAAAGGCACTCACCGGGCCGAGAAGTGGCCCAAGGCCGAACAACGCCATCGCCTTCCCGCGTTCGTCCGGTGGATGGATGTCCGCAATGGTCCCACCTCCTATAGCCATTGGGGATGCAGCAGCAATACCACAGATCAGGCGAAATACCAGAAACATAGCAGTATTAGTGCTTAGTGCGCAGCCGATGGTAAAGGCGATATATACAGCATTGCCGATATGGTAGATGATCAGTCGCCCATAGATTTCTGACATGGGGCTGATGACTAGGGGGCCAAGGGCAAACCCTAACAAGTAAATAGAGACCGTGAGGGCAGCAACGACGCTGTTGGTGATGCCAAACTCGCGGACAAGGTCCTCGGCTCCCGGAGCGAACATAACTGCCGCCAAGTTGCTAACCACCGCCTTAGAAGATGTTCGCTCATATTATCATGGGGACTTACGAATACAGAGTAAAGGCGCTGACAAGAAGCACGTGGGTCAATTTGGCTCCCGGCGCCCAGTTCTGAGGATTTGCTGGGTCAGTGGAACCATCCCAGTCGACGACGTCGGGATCCTGGGGTTTCAATGCATTCTGGTGTGTTTTTTCCGTGGAGACTTTCTTTCTCTTGTCCTCCCCAGATTCCAGTTCATAGCTGGTAGTGTCAGTCGAGACTAGGCCGCGTCTGAGCTCGCTTGATGACGACATGGAGAAGGCGACCAAAACCGCGTCCAAACAGATAGTCGAACGTGAGGTTAGTGGACGATGGAGGAGTGGTAGTATGGGTTGCTAGCAGAATCGTGTAGCAGTGTGGTGTTGAACAAGTGGAATTGGAACCAAGGTAGCCCCGAGGTAGATATTCGTCGAAAATAGGGTGTGATTTCCAAATGCGGCTGCGGAGAGGGAAACTGTGCCAGAAGCCACCCCCGAGGCCGAGACTACCTCCGTCGCGGGGAGACAAACACCCTCATCCGCACACTCACGTGATACAGACATCAGCCTTGCAATCTACCCTTGGTGGACTAGTCGCCTCTCTCAGCCATAGTTTCAGTGATCTTCTTCGGTTGGAAAAACGTCCTCCCTAGCGCGATCTGGCGTCTTGGCTTACCTCCGAAGCTAGGCTCCGAAATCCGACCCTCCGAACACGTATCCACCCGACCCTCCGAATATAATGTGACTGTCCCCCGGGAGGACTCCGAAGAATACCTCAATGCTCCTCAAAGCTGTCGTCAGGCCGCCTCATCACTACGCGCGATCTACGTGGTGCTAGACCGAACTGCTTGGTCGCTATTACCATCACAACCCATCATCCGTTCCATTATCCCAATCTCAGAACTTTCTACAAGCATAACTATGTCAGGCGTCGAGGCAAATTTTAGTCCACAAGTACCAGCCCAAGAGTTGATGGTTACCGACTCTCCGAGGGAGCCACCGCGGCCGCCACCTGCGAGGCGTCGAGACAAGCCTCAGCTCAGCTGTAATGCATGTCGGAGGAGGAAGTGAGTGAACTCAGCCGCCTCGCTAGTTCGGGGACTGAAACCGATCATCCGAACTCCGAAGCCCTTCCTGTATTCGTGCTGTGCCGTCGATTTACAGGGCTAATTAAGGCTGACAGGGTACGATGCAACCGTCAACATCCCTGCAACAACTGCTCGAGCAGGGGATTAAGCTCCTCTTGTACTTACAACGCCACCCGCGAGCCGCTGTCAAGCCGGCCCTCTGGTAGCAACCACGTGCAGGACCGCATTAACCAGCTGGAGAATTTGGTTTTGAATCTCATGCAGCAGACTGCTCCAAGCTCCCCTGGATCGCCCTCGGATCTCGCGCCAGTCACGCCAGAGAAACGCCCTGCTCGTCAGAGCTCCCCCCCATCAAGAGCTAATTTAGAGCGACCTTCAGCTGCCCGACTCGAGACTCAGCGAGCAGTGTCACCCTCCCCATCAGATTATGGAAGTATTAGGATTCGGGAATCGGGTGTCAGCTATGTCAGCAGCGCACACTGGGCGGCCGTACTCGACAGCATTGCCGAACTGAGAGATCACTTTGAGCATGACGACGAACTTAACCCGCATGGTTCTTACCCCGTCCAGCAGCAAGCCCACTTTCCCAGTCCCCAACTGCTTTATGGTTGCTCATTGCATGTAACTGCAGCCTCAATTCTTGGCTCCTTGCCCCCTCGGCCCGTTGTAGATAAATTAGTCTCACGCTATTTCAATGATCTGGACATGGCTACTGGTGAGAAACCGAACTTTTCCACCACTCCGATAAAATCCGCTTTTCTCCTCGAAACTGACCGGACATTAGGCGTCGTGCATAGAGGGAAGTTTCTCCGAGAGGTATCGCTGAACCGTCCTTTTCCCTGTTGCCTTATTGAGATGGCTGTGCTCTCTTAACCGATATTGACATAAAAAATAGTATGAGAAATTCTGGAAGGCCCCCCAGGCTGCACCGATCATGTGGGTAGGCCTTCTGTTCACAATGATATGCCTGTCCACACAGTTCCAAGAGTCATTCCTTAATTCTTCCAAAACCTTGGCTACGGGTGGGCACCCTACTCCACCACCACAGACTATTGACATATTTCGAGAAAGAATCATCCAATGCCTTAATCTAGGCCATTATACAAGGGGTGGACCCTATGTATTGGAAACTTTGATTCTCTATTTCATGGTTGAGGTTTTTCCACTTAAGGAGGTTGAGATCGGCATTTGGGTCCTGGTGGGCAATATAGTCCAAATTGCTACACACATGGGGTACCACCGAGATGCAACGCACTTCCCCAACATCCCCCCATTTGCTGGCGAGATGCGAAGGCGTATCTGGGCGATGATAATCCAGTTAGACTTCAGCATCTCAACGCAAATGGGCTTGCCCAGGTTGATCAAAGAAAATCAGACCAATACCTGCGAGCCGCGGAACCTGGCCGATTCTGATTTCGATGAGTTTTCAGCGGAGCTGCCCGCTTCCCGGCCTGAGACTGAAGCGACTCCTACTCTCTACACCTTAGCAAAGCTTAGAATACTTTCCGTGGGGGCTAGGGTTGCCGACGTGGCCACTGAGCCTCGACCATACTCATATACTACGGTCATAGAGCTTGATAAACAGATTAACGAAGCCCGGGACGCCCTACCACCGAGCATGAAGTGGGAAAGCCTTGCGTCGTGTCTCACTGCGCCGTCGCTAGAAATCATGCAGAAGATTTGGATAGAGATGTGTGTCCAGCGGCTGAAGCTCGTCTTGCATAAGAAGTTCCTCATGCCATCCCGGCTCCAGCAGGAGCATGCCTACTCAAAATCGGCTTGTCTCGCAGCTGCCATGAAGATTCTCGAATTCCAGCACCTTGTTGATGAAGAGATTCAGGTGGACGGTCGCTTGTACCAAATTCGTTGGAGGGTATCTACGGCTTTCACACACGAGTTCCTCCTTGCTACCAGTGTCTTATGCTTTTACCTCCAAGCCCTTTCTGTCGAACAAGAATTACAACATGAAAGCTTGGGAGACGTTGAGGCCGCCAAAGTGGATAGGATTCGAGAGCTCTTGAAAATCTCCCAGAACATATGGCTCCGATTAAGCCCTGACTCTACCGAAGCACGGAAGGCCGCCGAGGCAGTGCAGTATGTTCTTGGCAACTCTGGACCTGGACCTGAGTCTTTCGGATCTATGGACATGATGCCAGGCCCTGCCCCTACGTCGGCTGTCCCATATTTCCCGGGTGAGTCCGCATTTACACCTGGTACTATACTGATCGTTTCCCTACATGCCCGACGGATCTGCCTGGCTAATGCAGCATAGGATTCCTGGACATGGCACCTAGCTACGGTTTTGCTGGATTGAGCTGGGAGCCAACAAACGAATTTGAACAGTGGTGTCAAGCTATTACTCGGAGTGAATAGTTTGCACTGGATAAATATATTGCTATAATTTCACACATTGATTGATCTAGAAGCACGACAGCATCTCTACATCTCTCAATTAGGAGGGGATCTTTTGGACGGTAGACCCTGCTATCAGATATTTTGTGAACTATATGACGGCGTCATAATGCGGGAACCGGAACCGAGTAAAATTGCAAGGGGCGGAAACATACTTCAACATGTTAGTGTCACGGTAAGTGCCATATCCTTCCATTACGTATGGCCAATTGGTTTTTAATTTTGACGTGTGGTGCACAGACAGCCAAGGCGGGAAACTCTCCAGATACGAGCTCCTTCTTGATCAAGCTGCATTCAAGTCGTACAGGTCCCTGTTATCCTTGATCCCGGCGCCATGTGATTTAGATTTGGCCACGCTTCTCGAGCCTCATGCAAGAGCCTCACGTAACCCGACGACCAGGCAGCGTCGCAGTAATTCGGTCTTGTTCGGTTGTCTCGAAGAACAAACAATCATGCAATTTGCAGCATGTCTCACTGCACTCGTTTCCAATCCATCGGGACTCATTCGGACTCACCACTCACAAGTGGGTTTCATTGCATCTGAGCACTTCTCGCCTTTGAAGACCATAAAACACTTTCCATGTCTTCATACAACGGGACCTGGCATCAAGGCTTTACTTTTCTGTTCAACACCAGATACACCTAAACTCTTCTCTCATTTGCTAGGGAAACATCATAAACATGTCTTCGACAGAACCTATCGCCATTATCGGGAGCGCTTGCCAGTTTCCAGGCGGTTCAGACACTCCCTCAAAGCTATGGGAGCTTCTTCGAGAACCGCGAGACCTTGTCCAGAAGGTCCCAACCGAACGTCGCTTTGATCCTGCGGCGTTCTACCATAGTGATCCTGAGCACCATGGGACCACCGACGTCCAAACCTCCTACTTCCTCGACAAAGACCCCGCGGAGTTTGACAACAGCTTCTTCAATATTCAGCCAGCCGAGAGTGAGGCTATTGATCCTCAGCAGAGGATGCTAATGGAGACCGTGTATGACTCGCTTTGCGCGGCTGGCCAAGCAATCGAGGGACTGCGTGGATCTTCGACTGCAATCTTTGTTGGCGTCATGGGCGACGACTGGGGCGGTGCGTTTTATAAAGATTGGGATAATCTCCCACAGTACAGTGCTACTGGGTTGGCTAGGAGTATTCTGTCCAACCGCGTGTCTTATTTCTTCGATTGGCACGGTCCTTCCATAACCCTCGATACAGCTTGTTCATCAAGTTTGGTTGCCGTTCATCTAGCTGTCCAAGCCTTGCGTAATGGAGAGTCTAGAGTCGCAGTCGCAGCGGGAGCTAACCTCCTTCTTAGCCCAGGTGAGTTCGATTTCACTCCCATGCTACTTTAGGGATTTCTGACCCTTCTGATCTTGCAGCAACATATATTGCCGAAAGCAATTTACACATGCTTTCTCCCAACGGGAGATCAAGGATGTGGGATAAAGACGCTGATGGGTATGCCCGAGGAGAGGGTATTGCCGCTGTTGTCCTGAAGCCCCTGAGCGCCGCGCTTGAGGACGGAGACCATATCGAGTGCATCATCCGCGCTACAGGAGTTAACCAGGACGGGAAAACGGCCGGGTTGACAATGCCCAGTTCGGCGGCACAGGCTATGCTGATTCGGGATACATATGCTCGAGCAGGCCTGGACATTAATAAACCAGAAGATCGCCCACAGTTCTTCCATGCCCACGGCACTGGGACTCCTGCCGGTGATCCTCAAGAAGCAGAGGCAATCTCGCGTGCTTTCTACTCTGGAGGAGCCTCGGACAAACTCTACGTCGGCTCTATCAAGACTATCATTGGGCACACAGAAGGAACTGCGGGGCTAGCATCTCTTATAGGCACGTCATTGGCTGTTCAACACGGTATCATTCCACCGAACATGCACTTCCAGCAGCTCAACCCCCGGCTCAAGCCCTTCTACGGGAACCTAGAGGTCCCAACCTCCGCGAAGCTCTGGCCCAAACTTCATCCGGGACAGCCCCGAAGGGCGAGTGTCAATAGTTTTGGTAGGTAAACTTTTTTTACGTCCCTATTTTCCCTTCAGTCCCAGACTGCGATAGTACTCCATCAGTGGGATCCTTGTATATAGCCTCATTTCGACATCAGAATTGTTGAAATACAAGCTAACTCTAACGGCCTAGGATTTGGTGGTACAAATGCTCACGCCATCATCGAGGCCTATGAACCACCCTCCGTTGAACCCTCGACTGGTCCATTGTTCACCCCCTTGACTATCTCCGCTGCCACCGAAAAGTCTCTACGTTCTCTGCTCTCATCATATTCCGAGTATCTGAAGAGCAACCCACAAGTCTCTATACGCGACTTCGCCTATACTCTGCAAGCCAGACGCTCTACGCTTGCCTACCGCGTTGCCGTGACCGCTTCCACAAGCGAAGAAGCCTCAGAAAAGATTGACGCCCTCCTGGCTAGCGATGAGGCTCCAGAGCTAAGCACGCGCCACTTTGGAGTCTCTTCCCCTCGTATCCTGGCTGTGTTCACGGGACAGGGTGCTCAATGGCCGCGTATGGGCGCTAAGTTAGTTGAGTCATCACCGTTCGTGTCGAAGCGGCTGGGCGAGCTGGACGAGGCTCTGGCCTCCCTACCAAAGGGCGACAGGCCCGATTGGACTCTACGGGAGGAACTACTCGCAGAGGCCACGTCTTCGAGACTTGCAGAGGCAGCCTTGTCGCAGCCTCTCTGCACAGCTGTGCAGATTTTGCTCGTGGACTTGTTGCAGTTGGCGGGCATTAAACTCCAGGCTGTAGTCGGCCACTCATCTGGTATGACCACTTTCATTAGATCCCGTATTAAATGCGGTACATGTTAACTAAATGGTCATATAGGGGAGATTGCAGCAGCATATGCTTCAGGATTACTCTCGGCCAGCACGGCCATCCGTGTTGCCTACTACCGTGGCCTCTACGCCAAACTCGCGAAATCACCGAACGGAGTCAAAGGTGCCATGATGGCTGTTGGCACATCGTTTGAAGACGCCTTCGAATTCTGTCAACTAGACACCTTCAAAGGTAGAATCCAGGTTGCTGCCCGCAATTCTTCGTCGAGTATCACCCTGTCCGGAGACGAAGACGCCATAGCCGAAGCCGTGGAGATTTTCAAGGACGAGGGTAAATTTGCTCGCCAGCTCAAAGTCGACACTGCTTACCATTCCGAGCACATGCTACCTTGCTCGGCACCATACCTTGCCTCAATGGAAGCGATAGGAGCACTCTCCACAAACGCTTCTGATAGCCGGCCAATTTGGCATTCGAGTGTTCACGATGGACAGGTCATGTCCGCCAGTAGTTTAGACCCACAGTATTGGGTTAGCAACATGACAAATGCAGTGCTCTTTGCTCCGGCCGTGTCTGCCGCAGTTTCTCAAAATGGCCCCTTCGATTTAGCCTTAGAGCTTGGACCTCATCCTGCGCTCAAAGGGCCTTGTCTGGATACACTGGAAGAGGTTCATGGAGAAAGGATCCCATATTCTGGACTCCTATCTCGAGGAAAAGACGATACTATCCAGGTATCGACTGCCCTCGGTTTCTTGTGGTCCTATCTTGGAGCAGGGTCAGTTGCCTTTGAGAGTTTTGAGAAGTCTGTCTCAGGAGACAAAGTTGGCCGCAACATGGTTCCTGATCTCCCAAAATATCCATTTGATCATTCGAAATCGTTTTGGACCATGTCTCGTGTCTCTGGCGCTCATACTAATGCTCGCAGTCCACCGCATCCAATCCTGGGCAGACGTTGTGTGGACCGGGAAACTACGCATGAAATCCAATGGCGCAACATCTTGCGCCCGAAGGAGATACCTTGGCTCAAGGGACATAAAATTCAAAGGCAGATCGTCTTTCCTGCGGCAGGCTTCGTGGCAATGGCCGCCGAAGCCATGAAGGCCTTGGCTGGAAAATCTACCATCGCCTTAATCACCATCGAAAACCTCTTCATTGGTCGAGCCATGTTTTTCGAGGATGAAAATGCCAGCGTTGAGTCACTTTTCAGCGTCAAGGTGATCCACTCAGGAAAAGACGTGATCTCGGCGAAATTTTCTTGCTATTCTGGGCCTTCTCACGAACCTGGGTCATTGCTGGACCTCAACGCCGAGGGGGAAGTAACTGTGACGTTGGCAGAGCAAGAGGCTGATAGACTTCCGTTTGTCGAGCCTGAAGATTTCAACATGAACGAGGTTGAAGTTGACCGTTTCTACGATCAATTGACCGAGCTTCAGTACGAATACTCTCCACCGTTCCATGGAATGCTGTCTATTAAGCGCAAGAACGGTTATGCCACGGGTGTTCTGGAGAACCAGTCAGGATCGGAGTGGGAGGACCAACTCCTCATCCATCCAGGTATGCTGGACACCGCAATTCAGTCCGCTTTGGCTGCCTTCAGCTGCCCTGGAGATGGGCGCATGTGGGGAATGTATATCCCTGTCGGAATCCAGTCAATTGTCATCAATCCCTATTTCACTCCAGATGGCACAGGAAAGCAGGACACCCACCCACTGGAGGCTGTCGTCAGGGACTTTACAAACGCTCGTTGCAATGTTGACATCAACATCTTCTCTGAAGACAATGCCCACACTTTCGTCATGCTTGAAGGTATGGAGCTGATGCCATTCACCGCTGCACGCCCAGATGACGACACAGTTCTCTTCTCAAGCTTCGAGTACAAGATTGATGGTCCGAATGGTGATGCTGCGGCTGCTAACGATATGCTCACCTCGGAAGACGTTGAGAATGCCATTAACGCAGAACGAGTCGCATTTTATTACCTCCGTCGCTTAGTTGAGACCATAACTCCAGAGCAGAAGGCCAATACTTTGCCGCATTACCAGCATCTACTTCGGTGGGCGACTCATGCTGTGAATCGTGTAAAGTGTGGAAAGAATCCGTTCATCTCTGCAAAGTACCAGCTGGATACAGAGGAACATATACGCGTTATACTAGAGAAGTATGCACTTCGCATCTTAACTTCAGTGAGTGTGGTTATTAACCATTTTGCAGGGATCGAGACCGAGCCGACGTCCGACTTCTAGAGTCTGTCGGGAAGAATCTCCCGGAGGTCGTACGGACATCGTCTGGTATTCTAGAATATATGGCCGAGGATGGATTGTTCGATTTCTACGATGGGGGCCTGGGTCTCGACATTGCAAATCGCCACTTTGCACGCATGGTGGCTCAAGTCGCCCATCGATACCCACGTATGAAGATACTTGAGCTTGGTATGGTCATTCCTCTGTCCCTTTCCTAGACCGCAATACTGATTCAGGAAACTCCAGGTGCCGGAACTGGCGGATCTACGAGGAACATTCTCCCACTTCTCGGCCCTTCGTTCTCTTCCTACACATATACCGACATTTCCAGCGGCTTCTTCGAGGCTGCACAGGATCGTTTCAGTGACTATGCCAACCGCATGATCTTCAAGACCTTCGATATGGAGCAGTCTCCGGCGTCTCAAGGCTTCATCGAAGGTTCCTACGATCTGATATTAGCTTCCAACGTCATGCATGCAACAGGAAAGCTAGAAGAGATGATGTCGAACGTCCGCAGCCTCCTCAAGCCTGGCGGCTACCTGATTACCCTGGAACTTACTAGCGACGACACACTCCGTGTTGGCCTGCCAATGGGGAGCTTGCCTGGATGGTGGGTCGGCGCCGAGAGCGGGCGACCAAATGGACCAGGCTTGAGTTTGCCGCAGTGGGATACCTTGCTGCGGAAGTCCGGCTTCGGTGGTGTCGAAACATGCACCCCCCCGCTTCACAAGCTCTACGTGTCCACGATCTTTGCTGCTCAGGCAGTTGACGACCGTGTCAGCCTACTCCGGTCTCCCCTGCATGCGTTGTCTACAGGCGCCTTTCCACCAGCGGACACTGAACGGCTTGTCATCGTAGGCGGCGAGACGCTCGCGACTCATCGCATCGCAGAACAACTCGCCGTCGACCTCTCTTCGAGATACACCAGTATTGTGCGCGTAAGCTCCTTCGAAACCCTAGACGATGAGAAAATTCTTCCCTCGAGCACTGTTTTGTCGCTTGCGGAGCTCGATGAGCCCGTGTTCCAGGCTTTTACGCCCGCAAAATTCGACGCCTTCAAGACGGTATGGGGCCAAGCGGGCACAATCCTCTGGGTAACTCGAGGAGCAAGGGCAGAGGAGGCGCACTCGTTCATGACAGTTGGTATCGGGCGAGTGATGAAATTTGAGTACCCCAACATCTCATTGCAAGTACTCGATTTTGACAAACTTGACGACAAAACTCCGCACGTTATTGCAGAGGAGCTCCTGCGCCTTGATGTTCTGAAGAATTGGGAGAAAGAGCTTCGTGGCGATGAGCTTCTCTGGTCTCTGGAACCTGAAGTGTTCATCGAGTCTGGTACTCGCATGATCCCCCGACTCTACGAATGCGAGCAAGCAAACGCACGATACAACTCCGCTCGCCGCACAATAACCAGAGAAGTCAACCCACAGGAGTCTGGGATTCTGTTCGCCAGCAATGGAACGTCATATGAGCTTCAACACCCATCACCTCTTCGTATCGCAAACCCACCGCCTGCACTCGGTCAAACCAGGGCTCTACACGTCTCCCACTTCTTGCTCCAAACTATCGGAGTTGGCTCTGTCGGCAATCTGATGCTCTGCGCAGGCACTGATGAAGTCACTGGGGAGCAATTACTTGCCTTGTCCCATTCAACAGAGTCGCGAGCAAAGGTTTTGGCAGACTGGACAGTGCCACTCGAAGGTCTAGATCCCGTCAAGGCGCTAGCTGCTGTCGCAGCGCACATCACCGCGTCCAACATTCTCCAGTTGGCGCCCAGCAGAAGTACACTCGTCATTCACGAGCCGGATCAATTAGTTGGTTCAGTCCTGGCCCGGAAGTGCGAGCAGTACTCAATCAATCTCGTGATTACTACCTCGCTCAAGAGTCAGGTCCCCAAGGGATGGCTCCAAATTCACGGAAACCTCCCTCGGCGTCTTGTTAAGAGAGCTTTGCCAGCTTCACCTGCAGTATTTGTCGACTTGTCTCAGGCCCGTGGCTCGGCAGAGGTTGGTAGGCTCATCGCGAAGTGCATCCCGCAGCTATGTATTACCTATGGCACCACCCGCTTTTATGGTACGACTACGGAAATCCGCCCTGGATTCTCGACCGGCGAAGTCACTGAAACGCTCAAGGAGGCATGGCTTGTTGCTAAGAAAAACCTAGACCAACTTGAACCTCCTGATGTCATGGAACTGCAAGATCTCTCGAACTTCTCGATACTTGAGTCGCCCCTTACAGTTGCTAACTGCTCCAAATCCGCCGTTTCAGTCAAAATTCAGCCAATTGATACTGGAGTGATTTTTCAAGCTGACAAGACCTACTTCTTGGTCGGCTTAGCGGGAGAGGTCGGGCAATCGCTCTGCCAATGGATGGTAGAACATGGCGCAAGGTATCTAGCCTTGACCAGCCGACGACCGAAAGTGCACCCCAAGTTCATCCAGTCAATGGAGGCAATGGGAGCCACCGTGAAGGTTTTGCCTCTGTAAGTATTCCGCCCAGGAGTAAACTTCGAAATTATTTTGCCGCTAACCAACTCGGAAGTGACATAACCAAATCAGAGTCTCTGTACAAGTGTTACGGTGAGATCTCAAAGACGATGCCCCCAGTAGCCGGTGTAGCCAATGGAGCCATGGTTCTCGAAGATTCTTTATTCGATAGCATGTCGTACGAGGTCCTCACCAAGGTCCTTGACCCTAAGGTTATTGGCACTCAACTTTTGGACGATCTTTTCCATGATGATACTCTAGACTTTTTTATTGCATTCTCCTCAATCACTGGTGTGGTCGGCAACAGCGGCCAGAGCAATTACATCGCCGCCAACATGTTCATGACAGCCCTCGCCCAGCAGCGTAAGAAGCGCGGCGTCCCCGGCTCCGCTATCGCCATTAGCTCTCTGATGGGCATTGGCTATGTTGAGCGGTCCGAGGAACTGACTGGTGATTACTTCAAGAAAGTTGGATACAGGAACATCTCGGAGCAGGACTTGCACCAGTTGTTCGCCGAGGCTATCGTAAATGGTCGACCAGATTGCTCCGACAGCCAGGAGATTGTAAGTGGATTAGAGCCACTGTATGCTGACACCCAGGTTAAGGCACAGTTCCGGGATGATATTAGGTTCAACCACTTCATCATGGAACGTCCGGGCACCCAGACCTATGGTGGGAAACTGTCGACTGTACCTGTACGAGTCCAATTAGCTGAAGCTAAGACGAAGTCTGAGGCCTGCGCTATCATCAAAGGTAAGTACTTACGCACTTTAAGCCTTTCACACTATTACCACTTTAGCAAAGCGGGGGTTACAGAGCTAATATTCACCGCAGAGTCCTTCCTTGTACGCCTCAAACGCATCTTGATGATCTCTCAAGACGATTCCGTGAGCGACAAGGCGTCTCTCGTTGAGCAGGGTGTTGATTCCCTCATGGCTGTAGAGGTCCGTTCGTGGTTCCTGAAGGAGCTTGAGGTTGACATCCCTGTCCTAAAGATTCTCGGTGGGAGCTCCATTACAAATCTCCTTACGGAAGCAATGGAGCGCGTGCCGATTTCAGTCGCGAACCTAGATGCGCTTCCGGACAGCGAGAAGCCTTCTACACAAACACAAAAGCCAGCTCCCGAATCGCCAACTATTGAGGTCCAAGGAAGTTCCACTGAGGCTTCTTCTCACCACTCCAGCTCGCCGAAAGAAGGTATATCTCGTGTAGCCACCCCGGCCACTCCAGCCACCCCGCTAGAGACACCCATGACGGAAGTGGAAGGATTCACACTAGGGACCCCAATCAACGGCAAGATCGTGGCACCTCCTTCAGCAATGGACATCAAGGCGCGAATCGAAAAGGAAGAAATCAGCCCGATGTCTTACGGCCAAGCGCGTTTCTGGTTCTTGAATGACTACCTCGCGGACAAGAGAAGCTTTGACATGACTGTCATGTTCAAACTCACCGGCAAGATGAACGTCAGCCGAATGGAGAGGGCTGTCAGAACGGTTGTACAGCGTCACGAAGCACTGAGGACTCGATTCTTCTGGTCCGGGGAAGGTGATCAACGAGTCGCCATGCAAGGCGTACTGGCTGATTCCCCTATCCAACTGGTTCACAAACGTGTCCCATCAGATGCAGCTGCAAAGGAAGAATTGAAGAAGATGCATGATCATGTATGGGATCTCAACAGCTGGGAGGCAGTCAAAATCCACCTCATCACCGTCACGGACAACACTCACTACTTGCTTGTTGGCGGCCATCATATTTCCTGGGATGGATACAGCTTTACCGTCCTATTCGTCGACCTCGAAGCAGCATACTCCGGCAAGCCATTGCCCCGCCTTGGCCCCGAAAGTCAATATCCTGCCTTTGCTAAGTGGCAGCGAGAACAGTACGAGACAGGTGCGATGCACAAGGCGATTGAGTCCTGGCGTTCAGTCATTGATCCTGATACTCCTCCCATGCCCCTCTTCCCATTCGCGAAATCTCCAACTCGCCCTGTCCTTGACCATTTCTCTCAGCACGAAGCGAAGGCAACACTTCCGCCAAATGTTGTATCGAAGCTCAAGCAACTCTCCCGGAAACATCGCGCCACAATGTTCCATCTCTATCTCGCTGCTCTCAAGGCCCTTACCTGGAAGCTTCTTCCTGAGATTGGTGACCACTATATTGGTGTCGCAGATGCAAATCGCATAGACAAGAAATTCATGGGCAGTCTCGGCTTCTTCCTCAACCTCCTGCCTGTGCCATTTTCTAGAGGTGGCCCTAGGACGAAGATTAGCGACCTCATCAAGGACGCTCGTGACAAGGCTTACGCGACACTCGAACGCTCCATTGTACCCTGGAACGTCATTCTCAAAGAGCTGAAAATTCCGCGCTCGAACACTTGTGCGCCCATCTTCCAGCTCTTCGTCGACTACCGCCAAATTGTTCAAGATAGGTCGACATGGGGTGGATGCAAGATGAGCGATGAGGATTGGTTGAACGCGCGAAACGGATATGACCTCACATTGGGCATCACTGATAATCCCACCGGGGAATCGCTCCTTTCCTTACGCTTGCAGGCCAACGTGTACGACATGGAGAGTACCCAACTGCTCCTCCGATCGTATGTGAACGTGTTGGAGACGTTTGCCAACGGTATCGACTTGAACGCCAATGATATACCATGTTGGGCTCCGAGTGACATCGAGAAGACCCTCGAAGTCGGCAAAGGTAAACCTTCACTGTTTTTCTTTCTGGCCGACTAAGTTGAAGCTAACTGCAACTCTAGGGCCATCCATGAAACTCGAATGGCCGACCGTCTCTCACCGGGTCGACCAGATGATTACGGAACATGGCACTGAACCAGCATTGAAAGATGGCCTTGGCAACAGTCTCACATACGGGCAGATGGGAGATCGCATCAATACCATCGCTGCCACTCTCATTGCTGCTGGAGCAACGACAGGCTCGCCAATCGCAGTATTCCAGGATCCATCTGCAGACTGGATGTGTTCTATGCTCGCTATTCTCAGGGTCGGGGCGACGTACATACCCTTGGATCTTCGCAACTCTATATTCCGGCTTATCAGCGTCGTAAAAGACGCGCAGCCAACCATCCTGCTAACAGATTCCAATACCACTGCCAAGACCAAGCTGCTCGGTGCCGATCAGGCCGTTGAGATTGTTGTATCGGACATACCAACGTTGGCTACTACAGCACCGGTTCCGAACAGGGCAGAGCCTGGGTCAATTGCTATCATTCTCTTCACAAGTGGAACAACCGGAAAGCCTAAAGGGATCAGACTGACCCACGACAATATCCGAGCACAATGCGAAGGTTACTCTCGATTCTGTGACATCCCTTCCAAGGCTGCAGTAGTACTCCAGCAGACCATTTACAGTTTCGACGTCTCCCTTGATCAGATCTTTGCCGCCCTTGCTGATGGTGGTTGCCTTATTATCGTCCCAGCCCACAAAAGGGGCGATCCGCAAGCAATTACCGAGATAATGGTGAATGAGGGTGTCACTTACACTGTATCAACGCCGTCTGAGTACGAAATGTGGTTCAGGTACGCCCATGAAAACCTAGCCAAGTGTACAGAGTGGCGGGCTGCCTTTGGTGGAGGTGAGCACCTCCACCGCGGGCTCATCCAAGAGTTTGCCGATCTTGCGCTTCCAGGGTTGAGATTGTTCAACAACTACGGCCCTACAGAGGCTTCGCTTGCGATCACAAAGGGGGAGGTGAAATACAACGATCGTGATTTGGAGGACCATGTCCCGGCTGGATTCATCGAGCCAAATTATACAGTCGCAATTGTTGACGAACACCTCCGCCCGGTTCCCTTTGGGGTGTTTGGTGAGATCGTTGCTGGAGGGCCTGGTGTCGCCGCTGGGTACTTGAACCTGGACGATATGACCAAAGAAAAGTTCATTTCTGGGGATAAGATTTATCCATCGGCATCTAAGGGTACCTGGTACCGTACCGGCGACCGGGGTCGTCTCCGCGAGAACGGGGCGTTGTACGTCGATGGACGTATCCTAGGGGACTCTCAAGTGAAGATTCGGGGATTTCGCGTTGAACTTGGCGAAATAGAAGTAGTCTTGCTCGAGACCGCGAAGGGCGCTCTCTCACACGCTGTTGTCACAGCGAGGGGCACTGGAGAGGACCGTTTCTTAGCCGCACACGTCGTGTTCGCTCCGGATTATCCACAAGATCGCCGCCAGGACATGATCAACCATTTGGAAACTAGACTCCCACTGCCTCCATACATGCAGCCCGCCATCGTAGTTGCCCTTGGTAACATTCCCGTTACGAGCAATTTCAAGTTCGATCGCAAAGCCATCCAGGCGCTTCCGCTGCCCCAAGCCAATCCAGACGACATGGCTTTTGTCACAGAGATCGAAAAGAAGCTGGCTGAGCTCTGGCAGAGCATGATCCCCAACGGTATTCGAGAACTGACGCCAGAGACCGACTTCTTCGACGTGGGTGGCAACTCGATTCTACTAGTCAAGTTGCAGTCCGCAGTGAAGCGCACCATGAATGCGACACCGCGACTGGTCGATTTTATGGAAAGAAGTACCCTTGGCGGAATGGCGAAGGTCATCAAGGGCTCTTCTGGTGTAAGTGGCATTGACTGGGAGGCAGAGACTAGCATACCAGAGTCTCTCATTGAGCTCAAGAATGAGAGAAAGCCCCGACCCGTCGCAACTGTAAATCGCACAGTCATCTTGGCAGGGGCAACTGGCTACCTTGGACGCCATCTCCTCCCTCGCCTTGTCGAATCCCCACAAATTGGACAGATATACTGTCTTGTCCAGGATGAAGGCCATGCAGCGACGTCTCTCTCACCAAGCCCCAAGGTGAGGTTCATCCACGCCGACCTATCTCAACCAAATCTCGGACTCTCACCTGCAGTATTTGGTGCCCTTTCGGACAAGGCACACGTAGTTATCAACTGTGCCGCAAATCGCTCCTTCTGGGACGGTTACGAGGCCATGCGGCCGGTCAACTTCAATGCTGTCAAGGAGCTAACGCGACTCTGTCTTTCCAACAATGCATCCTTCCACATGCTTTCATCAGGTGCGGTCGAGATCTACGACGATGCGGCGCCACCGACAGACGGAAGCGACGGATATGTCGCTAGTAAATGGGCTGCTGAGGCGTTCTTGCGCAAGGCGGCCACGAACCTCAGTCTTCCGGTGTATCTCCATCGACCACTTCCCACACCGGCGAACGGAAGCGGAAAGCCATCTACCGTCTCTTCCCAGGCGATCCTGAAGGAGCTCCTCAAAATAACCCGTGCACTTGGCAAGAGGCCGGATTTCACTGTTGTCAGCGGCCATCTAGACATGGCTCCTGTAGCCGATGTGGCTGACGACATGGTTGCTTCAATGGCGGGTGCCGTGGAACAGAGTGGCAGCGTGGAAGTCATCGCGCACAACGCCCGGCTCCGGGTGCATGTCAAGGACTTTGCTGATCACGTTGAGAACGATAGGGATTTGAAGGCATTGCCGGCTATGAATCCGTTATTTTGGTTCAGAGATGCGAAGTTGGCTGGGTTTGGACACTTCATTCTCTCACAATACCTGGTTATGGGGACCGAGGACGGAGAGTTGGTTGCTAGACGTTGATTGGAAGATAAGGGCCAATTAAGAATGGAAACGAACAATAGTTTGGCAAATTGTTGTAAATCATACACTTGTAAATTCTTAGGTTCTTAGGAAGGAACAGGCGCTTGGTAGCATTTTGGTTTCTTCTAGTATCCTTTCCCTTTGTGGTTCATCTTTGATATCTTAGGCACTCGCTTTGTATTCTATTTATCTTCTTACGGCGAGGAGTGAGATTATTTTACTATACAAGCTTAATTTGCTCAATTTCACGCCACGCAGAGTCCATCCCTACCATTGCTCAAAGAGCAGGAGGCGTAGTAGATTAAAGTAATAGCAACAACATACCCTTCGTTGTAGAACGTGTTTTGGATCCTTTTCGTTCATTACCTGCATTAGAGCATGCGTATTAGTTAAGTAGCTTTTATATAATAATGGTTCCTTTTGCGACGGGATTCCCGGATACCCCGGCGTACGGCCATGTCTGGGGATGGCTGTGGAAACCTCTCACTTGGGGCCGGTAGGGCTCTTTCGAACCTGAGTGTTTCCTGCCGGGCTTCTTCGGACTTTTTCGGATTTGATCCAAGTTGTCATGCTCAGTTGGCCGACTAATTGCGATGAGTGCATTTAGCTGTAAGAGTTATGATTCAACTCCGACCGCCACATTCAACTATAAATTTTGACGGCGGCATTCGAACTTTCGGACTCTTTTTTTTCTGAAAAATTCTCCACCTGATCGATTTAACACAATGGGAGGCTTACGTCGCACGCAGACTGCCGTTGTGGGGAACGACAAGGGCGGGTTGGAGCTTTCCCACGAAGCTCCAGTACCGGAGGTTAAAAACGACATTGTTCTCGTCCGGACAATGGCAGTGTCAGCGAACCCAGTCGATGCAAAAATGGTCGGGCCGTACATGACACCAGGGGCAATCCTAGGATGTGACGCCGCTGGAGTTGTCGAAGCCATCGGACCCGTCGCCGCGCAACACAAGAACAACATCAAAGTCGGAGACAGGGTGTGTGTTGTGGTCATGGGCATGAACCCTCTCGAACCCACCCTAGGATCCTTTGCAGAGCATGTTGGCGCTCGTCCCATCAGCGTGATCAAGCTTCCCGATGCTGTCAGCTTTGAGACAGGCGCTGCCCTTGGCACTAGCTTCATGACTGCTGGTCTGGCTCTTTTCAAGAGCCTCGCTCTTCCAGGTTATCCGCTTGCACCAAGTGCTACTCCTCTCCCTGTGCTCGTATATGGCGGCTCCACGGCAACGGGCACTGCCGCTATCCAGCTCCTCCGACTAGCCGGTTTCACGCCCGTGGCAACCTGCTCGCCGCATAACTTCGATCTTGTCAAGTCCTACGGAGCAGAGGCTGTCTTCGATTACCGTTCCCCCGACTGTGGAGCCGCGATCCGCGCACACACTCGCAATGGGCTGCGCTACGCACTCGACTGCATCACAACAACAGAAAGCATGCAGCTCTGCTACGCCTCACTTGGGCGCGCCGGCGGGAGATACACAGCACTGGACCCATATCCACTGGCAGTAGCCGCGACGCGAAAGATTGTCAAAGCCGATTGGGTACTAGGGCCGACCATGATGGGGACAAATATTGGATGGCCGGCACCTCATGGCCGACCAGCGGATCCGGAAGCATACGAGTTTGCGGTGAAATGGACAGCGACGGTGCAGGAATTATTGAATAAAGGGCTTATTCGGGAGCATCTTCTGTCAGTGCAACAGAGTGGGTTGGAAGGCGTGTTGGAGGGGATTGAGGCGTTGAGGGCGAAGAAAATTTCAGGGAAAAAGTTGGTGTATATGATTGTAAAGTAGGTCATGGGTTATGTTAGAGATATGAAAGACCGCTGCGCTTGCAGGCTGTCGATCTCGATAGGAGCTTTGCAACACGTTTCCAATTTTCAGGATTAGTTGAAGACACTTACGTTGCGTATGTGGCTATATTCTGCGCATATTCAAGCCGACCGAACAAGCTCCTCGACAATGCTGTGGTGAAAGGGTAGAAGACCGGTGTGAAAGAAATTCGGGACTTGATGCAACAAGGATTAAAAAGTGGGGTACATCTCAGGATTTCCGGACGATGCAATGAGAAGGTTCGTTTATCCCTATTCTCATCATCTCTCCCGTACTTGTGCTTCTCCGAGCCAGCTACTTCATGTTTCGCACCTCACCATTCCTTTCATATTCTTAAACTACCGTCTTAACTTTCACTAATTCTAGTTACACAGCACGATCTAATAGCCAGTGAGTACATCTCCCCACAATGGAGCGCACTGGATAGCGCAGTCCACAGCGTTCGCTGATGGCTATCAGCGTATCAGACGCTCCGCGAGGAGTGCAGGTTTCCAAATTGTAGAACCTCGGCGATGTTGAAAGAACTATTGCTGAAGTCAGATGCCCCATAGGAGGAATGGTGCATTCTGCTATGAGCCTCAAAGTAATTCCCGGCTGCTAATCTCTTATAAGACGTAAGTAATACCCTCCTATTAGGCATCCTTATTCAGACGAAATAACTTTAGAGAAAATGGAACGCATGCATAACCCCCAAGATCAGTGTAGCCTAGTACCTCCGCCAGGTACCTTCTTAACTTGGGTTCCAACACCGATTTCTTTCCCATGGCGTCCTCCGTTTCAGGGAGGGGAGGCCTAGTGACCGAGAGCTACTACTAGGCTGCGAATGACTATCTCAACTCTCTAGCTCGTCACTGCGGAGCCTCGGCATTCCCCTAGTATCTATCGCTTTCGGCATCATTTCCGAGATAGGATATCTCCATTAACATCTTTACTCGTCCAAATAGGAAAGGCTATAGCACTCTAGGCTAGATTCGTTGCGACATGCGGAATTGCTTTAGACGCGGAGCACTTAGGAGTATGAAAGCCTAAAAGCGGCCTCGCCACTTGTATCATCGCCTTGGGCTCTTCGGCATACCTACCATTATTGTTCACCTAAATACACGTATCGCGAGCTGGTTGGGTTTCTGACTATGCTCTACTACACCGCCATCGCATTGCCAAACTTCCTACCCTCTTCCGAATGGCACGCACCCTATTTTAGATAGATCACGCGGGGATACGACGGGTAATCCATGCATTTATTATTCTTTATTTGCTTTGATTCTTCGCAGCCTTTTCGAGAATACCACGAAATGCTTGCTGAAGCAGAGACCATCCATTCCAGAAGGCTTAGTATCGTTATTTGTGTGGTTAATTGGTTCCTGCTTGCCCAATGCTTCTCATGTCCATCTGAAGAGTGTCGCGGTTGTGGCTACCGAGAAATCGAATGATTCTGGTGGCTTTCGTGTTTTTGGTAGGTATCTGGTATCCACAAAGCAGTTTAGGGAGTGGAAAGACAGAGTTAGCATTTCTCAGTGCGTGCGGTGCGAGCATCACACGAACGCTTATAGTGTGAAATATTGGACTCATGTTAGTAGACGGTCTCTAATAGTCCATATTTGTGGATACGTCGACTTTCTCACTCTTATAACCCCTTCTCTGGCTAATGCGTGGGATAACAGAGATATCTGCCGGCAATATATATGGTAACCCCTCCCTCCGTCAAATATATTCGTTCCGAGCTCCATAGGAGCAGTTGGACGGACAGAAGTAATCATGTCAGAGGTTATTCAAACCTAGACAAAACTGTGTACTCTTTCTTGGTGATCCAATCGTTCTTCGTCCACGCATCAACGCGCGTTCGCGGAATGTGAGAATCAACTATCGCGCATATCTACATGCATGGGCTCCCAGCAAGCATTATACGTACTGCAACTAAGGCTGTAGCAAAGTTAGTGCCGTTTACCGATGAGGGGATGGCGAGACGACAGAGAGCTTTTGCTAGGTCCCGACTCCGTCACCTTCATAAACTACCACCTTCTCGCGTCTGGAAGTTTCCGATCTGGAGGGACTTGCGGGGAGGTGTACTCATCAGCGCTAGCGACACTTAACTGTCCAATAATGGCTACATTGTCTGGAACTTGCGAATGCCTGAATCGCCCGCCCTAGTATTGGCTGGCATATTGCCGGAAACCAGCATCGCAAGCACGACTCCACTAGATGTGAGAAGGTAACTTACTCGCTGGTGATGTGGCGGTGGCAAGAATGTGACGCCAAGGGGAATTTCCATCGCATGTGCATGTGCTCGAAGGGCTTGTGTTTAGTCGTCGTCATGCGATCTCAAGACGCAATGACTCGAGGTCTAGATGAACGGGGTCGTTCGCTTCGTAACGGCGTCGGTTGAGGAAGAAGTGCGAATTTTGCGGAACGAGGTGGTTGAAATAAAATACCCTTCCCGCAACGGCCCGCCTGACACCCACTATATCCTCTCTCATCAGCAGTCAGCATTCTGAAAAGGGGTTCTATACTGTCAGCACCATGACCACTCTAGTCTTTTCAGGCACTCAAATTTCTCTCACGCCAATGTGCGTATCCTAGCCCCGTTCACCTCCAAATGTGTTTCAGGGTAAAGGAACGACGATGATTGGCGGAAGCCCCGCAAAAATTCGGGCTCAAAGTCCTGCAAAAGTATCGAGGCTAGCCAATTGGAAATCCCTGATTGGAGATACTTTAGCGGCCAAGAACCAATTATTCGAATGGTATGCCGGAACTGCCTTGCGATGGTGGAGTTTTCTTTCAAAGTGAAACGCATCATGAAGCAACATCCGGATGCTGGAAGACAATTAACACGAGGCCGGAGCTGCAGTAACTCGACATCACACCATTTCCCATTTCATGAATTAGATACATTTGTTTGGAAAGTAGGAATGGGAATAATTATTCACAATGCCGAGTGCCTGTCGATCACCGGGGATATCGTTCCGGCTTTCTCATTTTGTGGATCCGAATGCGAGCGATTGTCTTCAGTGCACTCGACAAGAATCCCGTTCCCAAATCCAGCTGATGATATCCCCATGTTCATCCCGAAAAAGCAATTTCCCCGCAGCCTGAGCGAACAATGTTCTGGGAGGCGGCGATACCGATGCCACGGGTGCAAATGCATGACACGACCCTTGCCCAGACCCTGGATTGGCAAGACGAAGGGAGGTTGTCGAAGTTGACTTGGAAGCATCTGAGAAAGGTCAGTGCAAAGGTAGGAATTCTATCTCGTTCATACTTTTTCTTGTCTTTGAAGCAGAGGCGCTTCAAGCACGCGTCTTCGGTACATTCCTTTGTCTGGCGAACGTTCGCGCCCAAAAAATGTGGAATCCCCTCTCCAGCGATGTCCCTGCAAGTCATGACGCGATGAATGTACGACTTCCCTGTCATCCACTGTCATGGGATCGCTAATCGCTGCAAGCGTTTTGCATCCCTGCAAGTCGTTCGAGTTGGCGAACGCCCACGAGTCAAGGGCTGAAGGCTTAAAGAACTGGTCGTGTTCGTCTCCACGCTGTTGTGAACGACGAAGTGCTTCCCGAGGGGGTTCTAGACGGCCGAACAAATATTCGCGAGATGGCGTCCGAGGCTCTCATTTTGGAGATGCTGGCCAATCCACCGGATATCAATGAACCTCAACCGTTGTCGAACCGTAAGGCGACGATTTTTGGAACTACAGTAGGCTTTTTGGTATGACAGATTTCAAGCGCATATATTTTCCATCGTGCTAATCTTCCATCAGGCGGTCACTTGGATGGCAGTTGCTCTACGACTCTACACTCGAGTTCGGATCGTTCGTGAAGCCGGTTGGGACGATTTTCTAGTTACGGTGGCATCGGTATGCAACACAGCAGCAACCGTATGTGTCCTGCTTTGTACGTTATTCTTAGGCTGATACTTGATCTTTGACCAATAACATCTTTTTGCAGCCATAGAATACGGGCTTGGGCGGCACTTTCTTTACCTTCCCCTGGAGACGATGAGCAAGTATCTCAAAATCTACTACATTGAAAGTGCCATCTACGTTAGCAACACCACCATCATCAAAGCCTCCCTCCTCGTTCAATACCTTCGCATCTTCAAAGCTGGAACAATGCGCTGGGTATGCGTCTCCCTTCTCGTCATCATCAGCATCTGGGGCCTCACATACGGCTTCATGGCCTGGGTGCCATGCTTTCCTGTGAGCGGCTACTGGAATCGCAAGCTAAATCCGAAGTGCTATGCATATGGATTTGAGTCAAAAGCAACATTTATTGCGACGTATGAGACGCATACCGCGTTGAATATGGCTTTTGATATAGCTGTGTTTTTAACACCGATGGTCTTGTTCCAGCAGCAAGGTATGCGAAGGAAGAGCATTCTTGCCTTAGCAGGGCTATTCTTGTTTGGGGCTGTGTATGTTAACTCCGTCTCCTCTGGTGATCTATCGACGAAGTTGGTGCGAAGCTCTAACATTTTCTAACAACTCCATAGCGTCGTCTTTACATCAGTATGGCGTCTCTACACCATTATTGTTAACAAGGCCGCCACCCACCCCTACATCGACTTTACATGGTGGACACCCGTCAGCGTCATCCTCTCGTGTCTCGAAATCGACCTCGCTATCATTTGCGCCAGCATGCCCATCTTCTGGCCCGTTCTCGAGAAATCGTTTTCCCATATTTTTGTCACCCACGAAGTCCACATTACCGAACATCGACGACTCAATGAAACTGGGCTGGAGTACGAGCTTGACCACGCCGAGAGTAGGAGTGAGCGGGCGGGAAGTTTGAAGAGTACTAGTGGTAATAGCGACGAGGCGCTGACAAGGGAATATATCAGAACAGCAGTCGATCCGTTCAAATATTACACAGATCAGTATGTGATTAAGCAGGTTGATCCGCTAGCACAGGGGAATATAGGTGTGGAGACGAATGTGCAGACTGAGCCGAAACCGAAGTGGAGAATTTAGTAACATGATACCCACCCAATTGATTCCATCAAAAGCTTGTGCACTGAAAGTTGACGATGGATCTGAAGATGCGTGCTGCGCTAGTAAACGAAACGTGAAATAATGTAGTGTTGCTTCACTCAACCTCGTATCTCCAATCCCTTCACTCTGCTGCTGATCGCACCGTGACATTCATCCGGGCCGATCGCGTCGATTCGCTTGTGTGGTGGACTTTCGGCGCCACGCCTCGTCCCTCATCCAGCATTCTACGGCGGACCCCTCGAAGGCACATCATAAGCTCTATGTTGGATCGTTTTGATAAGGTGGCTTAACTATTCATATTTGAAGAAGTTGTGGGCAGAGTATCCACGGCGTGGTCTTCTGAATATGGTAGAAAATCCGCGGGCTCGAGGCGAGACTCCGGTCATTCGAACACAAAATTGCCCTGGATATTAGCCCTTGGTATTACTCTTTCCTTCTGTTATCGGTGGATTACAAATGTGCGCTAGGTATATGTATGTTGATGCGATTATCTTTTCGTTGATAGATGGTGCGTTAGTAGGTATTATGTGAAGCCGCTATTCACACCATGTCTACTTCTACAATATCCGTCGTAGTCAAAGTACTGCTCAGATCAGGTTCCTGTGCTCCGCGTCGTCCCCACCACCGAACAATCCCTCTATGTTACGGCTGAAGCCCGACTCCCTATGGCCATCGTCGCCTTTGTGGCCTTGGTGATGGTGTACAGGAATATTTCCAGAGTCTCCAACGACATGCAAGACCTGAGTAAGAAAGTACCACCAAACGACACCATAGAGAACCTCATCAATGAAAAATGCTCTGGTTCCTAGCCACTACGGTTCTTCTGGGGCTTACGTTTTTCTTGATCTTCGACCGATGATGATATAAGGTTGTCCGCTCGTTACGCCTCGCCTTCACCCCTATGGACAATTGCTTCGCGGGCTGACTCAAAGGCCTTCGCTAGATCTCAATTTTTAAGATCACGAATCTGGGAATGTCATGGGAAATAGCCACTACCATCTTAACCTTCACATCGATATCAATCGTAATCGGCGAGCCAATTGGTGAGAGTATTGTGAGCAGGAGTGTCGAATTCATCCTTGTCGTTCCTACACTTTGGCAATTCTGGGTCATGTTGTATAGTATTCGGACTATGATCTAAAGGCTTCCCGAGTCTCCTAGAGGTAGGGATATTTTATGAGCGTTTATGGTCTTCAATTATCCCCCTGTTCCATATTCTCCCGCTGGTGCCAAATCGCTGAAGGCATTTGGGCGTGGGTTCAATCGAAGGCTGACTCGATGGAGCAGGTAAACGAAGTTGTTGTGGACTAAGGTCAAGAGTAGCACATATATAGCAAATGTTCCAATATACACACTATCAAGAAATAGACAGCATTGACCTAAATACACGCAAACTACGCGTGCACTTCGCGATGGAGTTTCCTCTTCTCCAGCATCTTCAGTCCTGCAGTAGTACCACCCTCAGCTTCCAAAACGGCACCTCATTAGCCGTGCATACTGTACCCTCAGCCGGCAAAGTCTCATTTGTGAGGTAGCTTGCCATGTGCCCTGTGGCGCAGCTCAGGTAGGTTAAAAAAGATATGTGGCCAATAATGTCCTGCGTCAAGAGCTTCCAGCTAATATAAAGCTTCGACATATTCACTGCAGCGCGATCCGGCGTCACAGGATTAAACGGATTACCCATGAAGAGAATCAGTGAGCTTCTTCTGTTGGCCAATGATACGCCGTTGAAGGCCTAACTCTTCAATATCTTGATATTGAGCGAACGACAGTTGACTGAAGAGTCGCTGCCTATGCCTCGTCCAGATACAACGGTTTGATTAGCAAGAAGCCGATTTGTTCCTCAAATTCTTTATTGCTAATTATATTAAACCTTCCATTGGTTTTGGGGCAGGAGATGAAAACATTGGGCTCGAGATTCATTTTTGTTGCTGGTTCGTGAACTAGTGAGGAAATTTGGAGATCTTACGTAGCTCAAATCTACCCATCAAAGTATTCAAAATTAGCGATTGGATGGCATAGAAGTGTGGCTGTAGGCCTCAGAAGAACTGCATCGTCCATACCATTCTAGTGGTGAAACCCTGCTGATGGCCTTTGGTGCTCGTGGGAAAGGATTGTCGAGCCGAAATTCGGCCGTCAGATGTAGTCCATTTAATTCTAAATACTTCCACAGCAATTGGAGACTTATGTAGGTTTCACTTATACCCTATGGGGAGTCTTAGTATCTTAAACTGCTCGCCTTATTGATTCATCGCCTCCGTCTGTTCTGATTCAGAGGGCTGAGAAAGTCACTATACCGCGTGCTGATCGTCCACAGCGGGAATCCTATTCGGCTGACGACGCAAGGTAATATCGAGTATACACACTGTAGAATTGGGCAGGAAGAGTATACTTTGAACAGGATTGTATTCGTTGCCATTCAATGTGATGAAGTGGGGAGTAATTGCACAATGTGCCCACGAACACCAAGAAGTATTACCGTGTTAGCAGAGCTGCTGCAAAAACATTGTCAACGCCTTTTATACTAGCACTAAATTTGCTAGTAGGTTTAAGACGTCACCCACGTAGCGTTCAACAAAAGAGAGCTCCCTATGTCATCGACAGCGTGGCCAACAGTACGTAGTACGGTCGTAGATTACGGAGCTCCTACGGCCTGTACAACGTACGTACGTAAAGGCGAATTAACCCGTACATACATAACTTAAGGCTGCAAATTTACGCGTATACAGTGTATACAGACTTTTTTTAGTGTTGTGGTAAGCTTGCTAAGGCGTGTTTTTTAAGTAGTCCTAGTAGAGCTTAGTAATGCTGCATAGTTAATTTTTATTAACATACTGCAATGTATTAACACCTATCTATATTGCTGTTGTTGTTATTATAATAGATAACTTTATACACTCTACATGTTAATCTTAAGCTTTTTAAGCTACAATTTTGTCCTCCTCTAGTAGCGCGTTGCCCTATTACACTGCTGCTTCTAAACGCCTTAGGAAATAGTGTGTTCTTATATTACTACTCTTATTAACACTTACATCTTAAAAAGGCACACTTTTATCTATTTTATCCTCTTTATTTAATCTACTTACTTATAAGTATCTTAAGTTGTCTTCTAAGTGCTATAATC